ATGAAGTGTTCTAGCTCCCTCTATTTCAAGTATCGAAGAAAAATAAGACTCAAAATCTTTGTAGGTTGTAGCTGAAAATGCAAAGCTTTAGAAAACACTTCAGTGTGTTTTGAAATAACATATAAATTGAAACAAGATTCTTATGTGTTTATCTGTCTTGGGTTAATAAGTACTGGGACTTTAAAACAATTTGATTAAACCTGAATATTTGCTCAAAAGTGATAAAGCACAACATATGCCTATAAATATATTTTGGAGAAATATCGATCTTGATGTTTACAACTTTTTTATATTATTGACTTTTAAGTATTATTTGCTTTTGAATTATATTAATTTAATATTCAACAGAGCATAAATACTTGGCCTCACACTACTTATAATAAAATGACTTACTTTAGAAATAGAAATTTTTTAAAGCACTAGAAGGAGAAATAACTAAAGCTGTATAAACGTGTATTTCAATGACATGAGAAATCCTGCAGTACAGAAAGTATCTTGTACCCTTAAGGTCTCAGAGTGAGGTGACCTTCTTAAATTTTAATGCTATTTAAAAAACCAAAAAGTCAAAGAGAAGACTGCTGCAATAAAGCACTGTTTCTAAAAGTTGCAGGCATGACCTCATTCTGAGAGCAGTGCTCCTCAAAGTAAGCAACTTTCCTCCTCTTCTTAGGCACACTGATTTTCAGCTTAGAAAATCTAACCTGGTTCCTAACATATTCCTTAAGTAGTATGAATAGTTTAAGGTCTTTCTCCCTTTAAGAAAAAAAATTAGATATCTCACTAAAGAGTAATAAGTACATCTTACTTTCAGACATTAGACTTTCTGGAATTGGCCCATCAGTAAAAAACTTGTAAGAATTATGTGAAAATATGGAATCATCACTCTATGAAAACAGTGTGACAAAATTAAACATCACTGTGTTGAAATCTTTTCTAGCTTTAACTCAAAAATAGAAATCATGAGACTTCTATAACATTAATTTTAAAAACACACAGAAGTGAAAAGTGCTATTTTTTAAAAAGTACAATTTTTTCCCTTACTACATTATCAACATGGAATGATTCCAGTTCTCCTGTACTAAAAGCTGGGCTTTTAAAAAACTAGTATTGTAGTACTTGATATAATATTAATCAGTAGTGGCTTCAGTTTCAGCTGGACCTTTCGGTTTTGCAAAACTTTGCTTATGCGCATGCTGCTTGGGGTGTACTTCTTCATAAAGGAAGTCTGCAGTCAACTCATCCCCTTGTCTATCTCTGTCTTTCTAATGACATCCATTTGTAGTTGTCTTTTTACAATTTCTAGCAGAGGGCTCTTGCAGCTAGAATACAGCATCCTTTTTCTTATACTGCATGTGTATCCAGGCATTGAATAAATAAAAACTATGGACTCCAAATAGTCTCCTTCATGGGAATGTTTATATAGAAAGAAATGGTGCTGAATCCTTGGGAATCCTCTTTGGCAAATCTTTTAGTTCTGTATTTGTTGTGTTGGCCAAAATTATAATTTCATTTTTTATATCTATTTCCAATTGCACATAGTTGACCTGTCTAGTATTCAATTTTTCCAAAGCCTGAAAAGCTTCTCGAGAAATAGGAAATGCTACTCCTTGCAGTGTTTGATGCTAGTGTCCACACCCACGTCAGTTTGTACCTCATTTATTTTAATCTGTCGTAATTCTTCCTCTGCTGCAGCCAGAGGGGCAGGAGAAGATTGTGACAGCAAATATTTTTTATATAGATGTAGTGATACATCTTCCTTTACTGTTCTAAATACTTCATCTTTAATGTGGCCACCTCCAAACTCCTTTTTCAGAGTTGCTCTTGTTGCTGCATACAACATTTTTTGACCAACATGAGAATGATCTGGAGAGCATGCAATGAATATCCATTCATATCCTTGGGCATTCTGAGAATCTAAACTGAATAATATATAGCATGGTTGTTTGTCCTCCAACAGGGGTGAAACAAAGGGATCATAATCCTTATCCCAGGAATCTGAAGGCTGACTGCACGATCCAATCACGTTTCTCATTTTCAATAGATATTTTCAGAAGTCTGTATTTTCCATTTAAGACATCTTTAACATCTTCACTTGCTTGGATGCCGGTCTGATGGGACATGGCGGTGGCCGTGGGCTCCCGGGTCCGGCGCTGACTACAGCGAGCAGCCCGGCCGGCGACTCCCTGTTTGTTTGTTTTTTGAGATTGACCTGTAATGCTATGAATTTCCCTCTTAGGACTGCTATCCCAGTGTCCCACAGATTTGGATTGTTGTGTCTGCATTTTCATTTGTTTCAAGGTATCTTTTGATTTCTGCCTTGATCTTGTTGTTGACCCATTCATTGTTTAATAAGCTGTTATTTAGCTTTCATGTCTCTGAATGTTTTTCAGCATTCTTCTTCTGATTAATTTCTAGTTTCATAGCATTGTGGTCTGAGAAAATGCTTGATATGATTTCAGTCTTCTTAAATTTACTGAGACTTGTTTTGTGTCCTAACATATGGTCTATTCTAGAAAAGTTCCATGTGCACTTGAAAAGCATGTATATTCTGCTGCTTTGGGGTGAAATGCTCTAAAGATATCAATTAAATCCCTTTGATCTAGTATGTCATTTAAGGCCTCTGTCTCCTTGTTGATTTTCTGTCTGCAAGGTCTATCCATTGAAGTCAATGGGGTGTTAAAATCCCTGACTATGACTGTATTTTTATCAATGTCTCCCTTTATGGTCATCAAGATTTGCTTCACATATTTAAGTGCTCCTATGTTGGGTACGTAGCTGTTTACTAGGGTTATATGCTCTTGTTGGATTGTTTCCTTTTTCATTATGTAATATCCTTCTTTGTCTCTTACTATAGCCTTGGTTTTAAAGTCAATTTTGTCATATATAAGTACTGCTACCCCAGCTTTTTTTTTTCCTTTCCATTTGCATGAAATATGTTTTTCCATCCCTTTACTTTTAGTCTGTGTGTATCTTTTGGTCTGAGATGTGTCTATTGGAGGCAGCATATATGTGGGTCTTATTTTCTTATCCATTCAGTATCTCTGTGTCTTTTGGCTGGAACCCATTCAGCAACTCTATGTCTTTTGGTTGGAACATTTAAGCCATTTACATTTAAGGTAATTATTGATAAATACATATGTAGTGCCATTTTATTGTTAGCTTATTTTCCTCTGTTTTTTTCTTTCCCTTCCTCCTTTCTACTTCCTTACTCCTCCTTCCTTCCTTTCTTCTCCTCCTCCTTCTCCTCCTCCTGCTCCTTCTCCTCCTGCTCCTTCTCCTTCTCCTTTTTCTTCAGCCCTTTAACATTTGTGGCAGTACTGGCTTGCTATTAACAAACTCCCTTAGCTTTTTCTTGTCTGGGAAGCTCTTTATTTCTCCTTCAATTTTAAATGGTAGCCTTGCTGGGTAAAGTAGCCTTGGTTGTAGGTCCTTTCTTTTCATTACCTTGAATATTTCATGCTGCTTCCTTCTGGCCTGAAGTGTTTCTGTTGAGAAATCAGATGACGATCTAATTGGTGTTCCCTTTTATGTAACTACTTTTCTCCTGTGGCCTTTAGGGTTCTCTCCTTGTTTTTAAGACTTGTCGTTTTAATTATGATGTTTCTCAGTGTAGGCCTTTTTGCCACTAACTTGTTTGGGACTCTCTGAGCTTCCTGGACTTGTGTGACTTTCCTTCCCCAGGTTAAGGAAGTTTTCAGTCACTATTTCTTCAAACAGGTTCTCGATCCCTTGCTCACTCTCTTCTCTTTCTGGTATTCCTGTGATGCGGATGTCATTATGCTTTATGTGTCCAAATGTTTCTTAAGCTCTCTTCATTTTTTCAAAATTATTTTTATTCATTTATTTTTTTGCTGCTCTGCCTGGGTGTTTTTTTATACCATGTCTTCCAGATCACTGATTCAGACCTCTGCTTCATCTAACCTACTGTTTATTCTTTGTAGTGTATTTTTTATTTTATTTTATTTTTATTTTTTGTGTAAATGCCTTTATTTGAACTAATACACTGCTATCAGATTACATCATTTTTTCAGAGTTAGAGTAATATTATCATCTTGAAAGCTATAGCAAACAGCTTGACAAAGCAAAAGTACGTAAGTCCTACATACGTATTTTTATTTTTTAGTGACCTATTTCCTTGTCTTAGGTGTAAAATTAGAAAATCTATTGTACACTTAGCATACTTGGCCTACTGTATCCCACCTCAGTTCTGAGCATACTCTCTCTTTGAAAGTGTCATATGCAATAGCATTTTACATCGAAAGAGAGAGTTTGATGATACAGGTTTTAAAGCAAATATGCAGATATTGAACCAAGTTTTAAGACAAAATATGTCAACTGTTTACAGCTTGCGTGTGAGGGGGAAGATGCAAATTTAAGGTATATTTTCCTCTACCTATAATGTAAATTTTTTACTTACTTGAAGACCCCTTTAAAAAAGTAGCAAAATCAGCAGTCTTATTTAATGTAATCAAAATATTCTTAAATGTACAAAAAAGGATCACATAGAAAGAATACTGTAAAAAGACACTGATTTTAAGAATAAAAGAATATGAAAAGCTTCTATTACATTCTGCACAGCCAGTAACTCTGCAAATTTTCAGTACTAGAAAGATAAGCAAAGGATACTCATAACCAAATACCCTCTGACCACAGTTCTCAATTAAGAACTAGCATACTGGATGGAAAGCAAAATTATTGTCTAATAATATTCATATCCAATCGTCTAAGCAAGTCCCGAGAGGGGGACAGTCTATGAGGGAAAAAGATACATAGAGAGAAATAACATATAGCAATGGGAAATATGGGCAGCAATCTAGAAGAAGAGTAAATGATTTGGCTATGAGCACATTTTAGGTGTGCCTGATACATCCAACCACGACTATGGGAAACAGTTGTTTTTATGAAAACTCTTTCCCCTGAGGGCTCTCATGAGGAGCTAGTCTTGTTAATCAAAACTGAAAGTCCTTTGAATGACCAACAGTTCCTTAAAACGTAAGCACTTCACCTGGAAATAGCTGACCTGCTAATCATGCACCTGGGAGCAAGGCTGTTTTTATTCAAATTGGTTCTTTTACACTCTCTTCATTCCCCTACCCATCAAGCATGCAAACACAGTCATGACCATCTTGGGCTTTACTTCCACAAGGTCTTCAGGGAGAGCGTACACCCTTGCTCCAATTCTTCTAGCCATTGACACTGCATACTTGGCATTATTGGGCTTGTCATCTTCTGTTAGATTGCCACTCTTAACAAGGTCATAATTTATGCAGCCTGGCTGGATGGCGTCAATTAAATCCACAACTGCCAAACTGGAGCTGATCGTCTTATCCTTAAAACTCTGAATGGAAGTTGATTTGCCAGCTTCACTCAATGTTCTGTTCACCCAGCTTACAATGATGTCGTCATTAGCTTTCTGACCATCTCCAAGATCTTCCAGGACATTGAGGGTGTATCTTCTCATCAGCTGCCAGACTAAAGCTAAAGTCAGGGTTTGATTCCCATCATTCAGGTCTTGCCCTCCAATGCCAACCAGGGAGAATTTGGCAGGATGCTTCCCTAATTCAACAGCATAGTTGCAGTTTTCTAGCTTTTTCATGTTGGCTCCAAGTTTTGGGTATGGAGGTTTATTAACCTTACTCCAGTCAACAGGGACTTTAATTCGTTCATACAACTGTAAGATTACCAGGGCGTCTTGCAGGTCAGCATAAAGATGGTTTATGTGGGGATTAACACCAAGAGAGTTCATCCAGTTACGGAAGGTTCTTTCTTCACGAGTTTCTCCTTCTAATAGAGTCCAGTCAATATCCTGGTTCTCTGGCTTGGTTAATGCTGGATACTTATTAAACAGGTTAGCCACAAAGGCTAAGTTCAATTTGGGGTTTCCACTGACAACATCAGCAGGAGTAACAAACTGCCTGCAACCTAATTTGTCTGCTTGTTGAAGCATACTCTCAGCTCTCTTCAAATCATCTGTTTCATTGAAACCTGACATGTTAATATCTATCCGTGGTTCACCGTGGTTCACCTTCCTTTTGTCCTTTTGGTGCAATTTGATTGAGAAGATGGAAATAGGCTTTGGAATCCTTGATGTCAGCACTAAAGTTGTTGACTTTTTGCCAGCCTGAGTTTTCCAAATGAAAGTTTGGCCATTTAAGCAGAAGCTCTTCTGGAGACAATTTCATAAGTTCCTCCAAAGTCTCACCATCTCGAAGTAAAGCAGCCAAGGCTTCATTTCTGCTTAATTCAATGTCAGCGAACAAACCAATCTTAATGATCTGCCAAAGCAGCCCCAAAACCAGATGAGGTTTCCCAGCCCGCAAATCCTCTGCACCAATGTTCACAACGTGACACCCAATGGCAGAAGCGGAGTTCAGTGCCAAGTTCAAGTTTCCTGAATGATGAAGGGTGTAAGTTTCTTCTTGTTGATTGCTCTTTCATCAATTGTATCAGGAACTGAAAGGTTGATCATTTTACAAAGCACAACCCCATCACCAGCAGCTTTGAACAGGTCATCGGTATTTGGGTTCATTGGTATAACATGTCGGCAATCAGGATCATTTTCCAAAGCTTTGTTTATCCAGTTAACAAAAGCATATTTTTCTTCCTCTGAGTAAGAATGCTGTGTTCCTTCACTGGAGAGCTCTGAAGTTCCTCCCAGAGCACAAATCCCTCCTTTCCTATTGATTGCTTTGTGGAAGGTTTTAGCAATATCACTGCTTTTTACCTCTTGGAAAATATAAACAAAGTCATCAAAACTTATCTTTCCATCTTTATTTCTGTCACTATCCAGCATGAGTTTCTGAATAATTTCTCTCACTTTATATCCTGGTAACGGCATATTAGCTTCCTTGAAAAGCTCATGAAGTTCATAGTCACAAATGAATCCATTGCTGTTGAGATCAACTTTTGCAAAGGCCTCTTTGAGTTCATCAAGCTCATCTTTGGAAATCTGGGTGGTGGCCATCTCATCCATTTAAAGAAGATCTGTGATGTTAAGATGTTACAAAAGACAGACAACTTCTCTGTAGATAATAAGTTGGGTAAAAACACTTTTCAGAGTGGTCTCAGGATCTTAAGTCACAGAGTACCAGATCTGGCCCGACTGCCTTCGATCGATGCGCTCAAACAACTTCTGCCTCTTGGAATCTTTGTGGCTGCTTTTCTCGTATTTTTTATTTTAGATATTGCATTCTTTATTTCTGACTGGTCCTTCTTTATGGTTTCTGTAGTCTTTATTTTTAAGATTTTTTAAAAAGATTTTCTTTTTAAAGAGGGGAAGGAAGGGAGAAAGAGAGGGAGAAAAACATCAATATGTGGTTGCCTCTCGTGCGCCCCCTACTGGGGACCTGGCCAGCAACCCAAGCATGTGCTCTGATTGGGAATCGAACCAGTGACCCTTCAGTTCGCAGGCCGGCACTAAATTCGCTGAACGACGCCAGCCACGGCTGGTTTCTATGTCTTTTTCCATGCTGTTAAGTATCCTTATAATCATTACTCTAAACTATATCGGATAAATTGCTTGCCTCCATTTCATCTAGCTTTTCTTCTGGAGAATTCTCTCATTCTTTCATTTGAGATCTGTTCTTTGTCTTCCCATTTTGGCTGCTTCTTTCTATTTATTTTTATGTATTAGGTAGATCTGCAAAGACTCTGGTGTAGGCTTTTGTCAGATGCTGCTCATGACTGGCCCTGGTCAACTCTTTTGGAGCTGTCATCAATCCAGAGTGTGACTCCATTTGCTGGGCCTGTTTGTGTGCAAAAAGAACCAGTCTGTGCCCCATGGCTGGCTTGGTTGGCTTTTATCAGCACTGGGCTGGGGGAGTGTTAGCCGAAGTCTCATAGAACTCCCAGAAATGTACCTTAGTTTTTAAACTAATCAGTGATACAGCCTCAAGCTGCAATCAGCAGCCCTGCTTAAGTTCCACAGGGTGGGGCAGAGTAATTCCTATGGGTGGGGCTATTGCTTCCCCTCAGGCTGTTGCCTTTAGCAGAGGAGTGCTCTGCCTGAGAAATAAGGCTTCTGCAGTATGGGGAATGACTCAGCACAGGGAACCTAGCAGCTGTTCCTTCAGTTTTCTCCCCAGATCCATCAACCCCAGACTCTCCTCAAGTAGATTCTGTCCTCCCTCTGCTGAGCCCAGGGTAAGTGGCTACAAATGGAATTTTTTTGTGTTGGCTCTTTAAGAGGCTGTCTCAGTCTCTAGCTCTCTATCCTTGGCAGACTGAAATGCTGCTGCTTTTCACAGCTGGATGTAATCTGGATTCCTTTCTGGCTCTGTATCCTGTAGGCTGGGAAACCCTGCTTGGGGTTTAGACCCTACACTTCTCAAGGGGATCCTCTCTCCCAGGCTGCTGAAGTATCCCTCCAGAACTTTAGCTGCTGACCATGGATGACCAGCCAGTCCACTCGTGCCTCCTCTGCACTCCCTACCAGTCTCGTTGTGGTGAAATGGTTTCTTCTGTCTGTCTGTAGTTATAAGGCTTCTCTCAAGCTAGTGTTCAGTTGGTTATTCAGGATGATTTCTTTACAATTTAGTTATAATTCCACATTGGTCCTGGGGGGAGGTAAGTGTAGCTTCCATTTACTCCTCTGCCATCTTGTGTCTCCCAAGATTCCTTCTTTTTCATGGCTGAGTAGTATTCCATTGTGTAAATGTACCACAACTTTTTTTATTCACTCATCTACTGATAGGCACTTGGGCTGCTTCCAAGCTTGGCTATTATAAATAATGCTGCAATGAACATGGGGTGCATATAGATATACTCTTTCAAATTAGTGTTTTGGGCTTCTTTGGATATATTCCCAGAAGTGGAATTGTGAGGTCATATGGCAGTTCCAATTTTTAATTTTTTGAGGAACCTCCATACAACTTTCCACAGTGGCTGCACAAGTCTGCATTCCCACCAGCAGAGCATAAAGGTTCCCTTTTCTCCACGTCCTTGCCAACACTTTTTGTTTGTTGATTTATTGATGATAGTCATTCAGATGGTTGTGAGGTGATATCTCATTGTGGCTTTAATTTGCGTTTCTTTGATAATTAGTGACATTGAGCACATTTTCCTATGTCTATTGGCCATCTGTATGTCCTGTTTGGAGAAGTGTCTATTTAGGTCCTCAGTCCATTTTTAATTGAACTGTTGTTTTTGGGGTTCAGTTGTATAAGTTTTTTATAAATTTTGGATATTAACCCCTTATCACATGTATCATTGGCAAACATGTTCTCCTATTCAGTGGGTTGTCTTTTCATTTTGTGGATGGTTTCCCTTGCTGCACAAACACTTTTTTAGTTTGCTGTAGTCTCATTTGTTTATTTTTTTCATTTGTTTCTTTTTCCTATTTTTCACTTCTATAAACAATCCTGTTTTGCTATTTTTCAGCCCTGCTTGGTTATTCTTAGTAGTTTCTGGTTGGCTGCTGACACTTTTAATCTTGTCAACATTCTTCTATTTCTTTAAACATAAAAGCATAGTTATTTTATATTCTGTCTGATAATTCCAATATTTGAATCCAGCCTCTATTGTTTGTGTTGCCTCCTGCTCATGGTACCTTGTTTCCTTTTGTGTCCCGTGAGCTTCCCATTTTCCCTGAAAATTTATTTGTGGGGATGTTTTATGGCCTGGGCTGATGATAAGGCATGGATGCTATATGGTAGCATTTTGTGTCTCTTTTCTATTTTTAATACAAAAAAAATCAAACTATGCTTTTTTTATCTGCAACTTACTTTTTCCCACCAAAATGCAACGGTATGTCATAGTGCTGTCATTGAAGTGGTTGTAATGAATTGCCCTTTGCTTGATCTCTGGGAATTGTAGGTGTATCCTGAGCTTGAAGATCAGAGAGGTTGTCTACCATCAGGATCTTTTCTGACTTGTTCTTCAGACAACACCATTCGCTTCTGGAACATGGAGAGCAGCCCTGACTCTCCCTGGCAGAAAAACATCTTCAGTAATGTGAGTGACTTCATTGTGAACCATCTTTTAGGAAGAACAAAGACCTATTTTAAGCTAGAACATTGAGGCAGGAGGGAGTCTTATAGAATCTTGCTGTTAGTCTTCACTAGGGGCAGAAACCAGGAACCAGCACAGGTTAGTCTCTGTTACCCTGTCTCTCTTCTTTCTCTCTTTCTCCCTCTCTTTCTATGTAGTGTAGCTCTCTCTGCTAATCTGCAGCTGTTGTCCAAGTATGTCTACACAGCCACCTGACACACTCAACAGAAGACAAATTTCTCCCCAAGTCTTGAGTTGGAGCTCCTTGGGAGAGCTCTTTGGTTCATCAACCAAATCATGCAGGAATTTTTTCTGTGTGGTTAGCTGCTATGCGTGGGGGTGCTGGCAGGACCCCAAAGAGAGCCATAAGGTAAGGCTGGGGAGACGCTTTGCTGAAGAAATGGTTGGTATGGCTAGGTCAGTAAAGGAGCTTCTCTGAGGAGTTGAAACCTGAATCATGCACTTACTATTCTGCAGATACTTATTAAGGTCTGTGCTAGGTGGGTACATGTTGGGCACCAATCAGTGACCAGTACAGCCCCTTCTCCTGTACTTGTGGCACTCACAGTCTAGTGTGGGGAGGCAGAGAGTGAACTACCAACTGCACAAGTTGTGATATAATCACAAGTATGGTAAGCACCATGAAAGAAAATTGCAAATTGCTAGTAGGATATACAGGGTCCAGAACAAATAACACTCCTTTTTTATTGCAAAACCTTTTATTACAAAATCATAAGCATGTAATTCTGTAACAAAAATATCACACTCAAGCATGCCATATGACATTTTAGGTGAAATGTTCAAATTAGAACTATAAATTCTTACACCCATATTATTATCCTACCAACCACACTCAAGCAGGTATTAGTTCTGCTGGACCCTGTATCAAGAGTCATCTGATCTTATTTGTGGCATCAGGGGAAGCTTCCTGGAGGAAGAGACAACTAAGCTGAGATACAGAGCACTGGGAGGAGTAAAGAGGGGAGGGGAGAGTGTCCAATGCCAAAGGAACAGCTTGTGCAAAGGCCATACGGTGGGAAAAAGCTTGGTGAGTTGTTGGAAAGCCTGAGAAGTTAGTGGGGCTGGAATAAATAAGTCCCTTAGTGCAGGGAGTATATAGCAGGTACTCCTTTACTATTCCCTTCACACGCCTCCCCCCATTCCCTGGCCCCAATACTATCATCTTTTCTTCTGCACCTGTGATATATGTGTTATATTTGGCTGCATACAATAGAAAACCCCAAAACAAGAGGTAAAAGTTCAGCTTTCTGACTCATAAGAATAGTCTAGTTGTAACCAGTGCAGACTGTAATGGCAGCTGCAGGAAGCCCTCAGAAATCCAAGAGCCTTCTAACTCTCCACTCTGCCATTTTGGAGGAGTGGCCATTATTTTCATCATCCAGAATGGCTGCTGGAGTTCCTGTTATTACATCAGCAAGCTTAAGACAGCAAGAAGGAAGCAGAAGGGTTTTCACTTGCTTTACATTTCATTGACCAGGCTTTATTCACAGAGCCTCATCTAGCTGCAAGGGAGGCTCGGAAACATAGTTAATATTCTTAGTGGTGAACCTCCCAGTTCAAAATTGGAGTTCTGTTACTAATGAAGATTGGGAGACTGGCTCTTGGGATACAAAATTACAGAGGTGTTTCAGACCTTCTCACAGTACTGACTTCAGCCCTCTCCTTCCTGCAGACGCTACTGAAGGTAGTGTACGTAGAGAATGACATTCAGCATCTGCAGGATATGTCACACTTCCCAGACCGGGGGAATGAGAATGGGACATCTATGGAAGTGAAAGCCGGGGTACGAGTCATGCAAGTCAGTCCTGATGGCCAACACTTGGCTTCCGGTGATCGAAGTGGAAATCTGAGGCAAGTGCGCTCTGGTGGGTGTCTAGTATACACCTTCCAGCTTGGGCTTGGGTACTCATGGTTCTGGGGAGGAACGCTGGCCTACACACCTGCAGCTACTCATTGGGAATGAGGGGCTGTGAGTAGCAGTCCTATAACCAGCCACCCCTGGCAACCTAAGTACAGAGCTTCCCAAAAGGGCTAAGATGAGGGTGGCTACTGGGACCTCAGCAGCTGAGGCGTGCAAACTTTGCCTACTCTAGGCAAATTTGCATGACTCTAGGACAGGGCAACACTTTACCAGCTGTGTGGAACTGCTGCTGAACCCTCAGAGAAGATGCCAGCTAGAGCTTTTTGGAGTCCTGGGAGCCCTGGGAGAAGAGCCAGGAGGATGGGACATTTGAGAGCTCAGTTCACACTGCAGAGATTTCTCAAGATGTTAAAATATATGCTGACAGCACATGAGCCCTGTCACAGGGACCAGGTTTAAGTTGATGAATGACAGCTGTGACCCCCTTGTGCTGGGGCTTTTGAGGGATGGAAGGGACCAGGGGGAATTGGAGAGCATTCCCTCCTAGTTGTCATGGTTCTCATTGTCCAAGAAGAACAGGAAGTGTGTGTTGGGGGGTGGATTTCCTGTGAAAATTCAGTGGTTTTTACAATGCTAACAACTGTTTTGATATCAATCACTTCATGAGGCAAACTGAATGTATCAGCGGGCTGCTCACATTGATAGCACTCGGCCATGAATGGTGAAAGCAGTAACAAGCGCTACATGGGTATAGCACTCTTGCCCGGGCTGAGCACTGGCCTGACACTATATGTATCTCGACCAATTTAGTCCTCTCACCGACCCTCCAACATAAGTGTTGTTATCAGCTCCATTTTCAGATGAGTTAATTGAGGCAAGAGAAGCCAAGTAACTAGGCACAGGCAGAGAATAGTAGAGAAACTGGGATGGTGTCTCTTATTTCAACCCTGGATGACCCCTTGTTGTTTGCTTTCATTTGGAGAGAACGACAAGTCTAGATTTGAGACTAAGAATGACAGATTGGAATTATATGTTCCCACCCTTAGGTCCTATCCTTGAGTATGACCTCTGACCTCTGACCCCTGCTCCAACCTCCCCAGAGATCACCTCTGAAACAGCTCTGCCCTAACCTTTGTTCTCCCCAGAGGACTGTCCTAGATCTGGCCCATGGAATCACAGGGGCTGGGTGCTCACTGAGGTACTCCCAGCTTTGGCACTGCTTCCTTTAAGAAGACAGGTTTCTAGATGGTAACAGTGGTTGGGTATCTCTAAACTAGTTCCTGATGTCACATATCTGAGAATGCCTGGGGAGGGAATAGGGCTGGGAGGACCCTCTGAGAAGGGTATACCGGGCAGTGTATGTCTCCCAGGATCCATGAGCTGCACTTCATGGATGAGCTGGTCAAGATGGAGGCCCACGATGCTGAGGTGCTATGCCTGGAGTACTCCAAGCCTGAGATGGGTAAGCCCCTTGGCAGGGTGACAAGGGGGAGGCAGGGGAATGGCCCCTTAGCAGAGCCATGGACAGGGGTAGTTAGTATCTGGTAGGGCTGTGAATGACAGCTAGAAGTCATGTGTTTAGTAAGGGCTCCTGTCTCTGGACCCTGGGACCAAGGTGATTAGGACTCCAGAAAGCAAGACACTGGCAGGCAGGACTACACTGGACTTGCTTACCCTGGTGCCCAGTGCCCTGAACAGTACACAAGCTAAAGAGGTGAATGTTGAAGGACTGAATGTATGAATGAGTTCATCCTCTGCTAGTGAAGATCAATTGACAGTGAAACATGTTTAATGCCTACACAAAAATTACAAGAATATTACATCCTCTTTATCCATATCTCCCAAGTTTTTTTCTTTTAAATCCTGTCTAACCCTGTGACTGTATAATGAGTTTATCTGCTTCTCCATTTCTGTTTGTGTGTGTACATACATGCATATAATACAATCACAACTCATACATTATCTTTTTTTCATTTGCTAAACTATATGAGAGTAAATTGCAGGCATGAAACCCATTCACCGTTAAATGCTTTTGTCAGTATTTCCTAGGAATGAGGACAACTATTTACATGACCACAGGGCTTAGCAAATGTGGGAATTTTACTTTGATGGTATACTGTCATCTGTCTTATGGTCCTTACATTTTGCCAGTTGTCCCAGCATTGTCCTTTTAGCACCTTTGTTTTTCCAATCCAGGTTCACACTTTAGTTATCATGACTCTTTTGTCACCTTTATTCTGGAACATTTCCATAAACTTAATTTGTTTTTATGACTTTAGCTTTCTGCAGAGTGTAGACCAGTCATTTTATAGAATTTCCTTCAATTTGAGTTTGTCTATTTGTTTTCCTTATAATTTGATTTCAGTAATACACTCTTGGTAGGAACATAACACAGGCAGAGTTATGTCCTCATGCTCTTCTTTTCTTCTTCCTTCCTCTGCACCCCCTCTCCCACCAAATTTTCTTTAAATTTCTCTTCATTCAGTATACCTTTCCTGAGCTCCCTTCCACCTCAGGCCATATGGTAGGCCTCAGATGTACCAGGTCACCACTGGAGGCACTGACAGAGGGGGCCAGCCGGGAAGGCCTAGGGGTAGAAGGAAGTGCAGCGGTGGGTAAGTAGTCAGTAAGGCCCGGACAAGGCCCCTGTAGCCAGCCCTCAGAGAGTGAAGGGGCAGTGTTTTCAGGAGGCTGAGAAGATGGCAGGACTTCACATGGCATACCAAGGAATTGGACTTGATGGGAAGGAGTGCTGGCCTCCACTAGGATGTCTGCTGTGGGCACAAGTGAAGGAACGTCCAGGTGTACCTGAAGATTGATCCTCCCTGAACTGGTGGCATGGGATGTCAAATACCAGGGTTTGGGGCTCTGGAGAAACACCACACAGAGCTAAGGGGGTGTCTATCTTCTGGGTTTGGAGCAAATTAGCAGAAATCATGGAACCAAAGACCCCTTCCTTAAGGCCTGGAAAGCTTGGCCATGCTGCTCTCTAGGAGGCCAAAGCATCAAATAGTCTCCGGGGAACCCAGAGCCACTCTCTCCACTCACAGGGTTGACCTTGCTGGCCTCAGCTAGTCGGGATCGACTGATTCATGTGCTGAATGTGGAGAAGAACTACAACCTGGAGCAGACACTGGACGACCATTCCTCCTCCATCACAGCCATCAAATTTGCAGGTGAGGCCCTTCTTTCCCACTTCCAGCACCTCATTAGATAGGCTCCTTTGGTAACAGTAAAAACTCTCTTTAGCTTAAATAAACAAACCAAAAAAAAAAGGAGAAGCAAGCTCTGGATTCGGGCACAGCTGGATCCAAAAGGTTGAATTTTTTAAATTATTAGGAATCTCTTTTCTGTTAGCTGTGCCTTTCCCTGGAGGACAGGATCTTGGTTGTCAATGGGCCACTGGAAAGAGATTTCCCCTCTTCTTATTCATTTTGGCTAAAACTTGGAGCTGACTTTTCTTTTGCTGGTTTGAGGCACCTGCCCTTTCCAGAACAGTCATCAGTGCCAGGGCTTTGGGGTGTTCTCTTCAGCCAGGTCGGACTCATGCCCAGCCACCACCTACCTCCACTCCTGATCTGGGAGGACTGGCATTAGAACAGTGCTGGCCCCCCCAAGAAAACCAAGGTGCCAGTCTTGTGAGAGGGCAGGATGGACACTGGTGCTTGGGCAGAAAAATAGGTGACAGAGACAATCACCGGAGGCTAATTCTTTGCTGGGGCATTATCCTTGTACCATCCCAGCAGCTATCGCCTTCCTTACCCCTTTTTACAGCCACAGTCACACAGCTGGTAGGTGCAGGCCTAGGACCTTGCCTAAGGCTGTTCTCCAAAGTCCTGCTCAACCAGGTCATCAAAGGGATTCCTTCAAGACTGAAAAGATTCAGTATGGAGGTCCCTGGCCCTAAGGGGTTCCAAGGGGCCAGGATCCTTTTCTATGATGCATGTTCAAAAGGTAAATGATATTTCCTTCAACGACAGGCTGCCTGTACAAAGGTGGTCCTATAACATTATAATGTAGCTGAAAAATTTCTATCACCTAGTGACATTGTAGCTAACATAATGTCGTGGTGCAACAGGTCATAGTACTCATGTGTTTGTGGTCATGCTGATGTAAGCAAACCTGTGCTGCCAGTCATACAAAAGTATAGCTTATATGATTATGTACAGTACATAATACTTGATAATAATAAACAAATATGTTACTGGTTCATGTATTTGCTATACTTTTAATTGTTATTTTAGCATGTACTCTTTCTATTTATAAAACAAAGTTTGCTATGAAACAGTATGCTGTGTTATGCTGGCAGCAACCTCATCATTTTGTATTTACTGAGTCTCTTGATCATATAATTTCCTGTAATGCTTGATTTAATCTTGTGTTGTTTTGTGTGGTAACATGCTCTACAGGCTTATAGCCTACAAACAATGGGCTATTCCATGTAACCTAAGTGGGTAGTAGGCAGTACCATCTAGGTTTGTGTAAGTGCACTCTGTGATGTTATCACAACCCCCAAATCACCCAATGACACATTTCTCAGAACATATCCCCACTGTTAAGTGGTGCTTGACTGTAATACAGTAAACATCCACATCAAGATTTATAGTCAGTAGATATGAACTGGACACATACACCCATTGTTTATAGCCAGCAACTCTTCTTATTGTTTGCGGTCCTAACATTGCTAAATGCTTGGATCTACCAGGTTAAGAAGCAAAACATTATCAGTAACTTACAGGCTCTCTCTGGGTCTCTCCCTCTCCCTCCCCAGGGCTCAGTGCCTTTTGTGAGCCAGTGACTCCGCTTGAGTAACATCTTAACTTGTATGTCAGTCCTGGGCTGTTTCAAATGTCTTGTCATGAAGGAGCAGCATCTGTTGTACTAAGCCTCTAAATATTTATTTTGTCTTTTCATTTTCACCACAACTCTGTGAAGAATTTGTACCGTTATTCTTATTCTATAAAAAAGAATGATAAAAGTGCTTACCAAGTGGCAGCCACTGTTCAAGGGTTTCACACAATTTTGCGGGGCAGGAGCTGTTACAGGCCCATTATACAGACAGAAAGCTGAGGCTCAGAGAAGCTGGATTCAGAGTGCAGTGTTTAACCAGAGAAAGCCTGGCTTCAGTCCTGGCCCTGTCCTGACTCTCTGTGTACCCTGGGACAAAGACTGTGTGACTCAGCCCCTGGGTCATATTTGTACAATGGAGTGGCTAGTGAGCAGTCAAGAAGAGGGAGGTACAGTTAGTGCAGGGCCTGGCCTGAGGTACGTGGATGTTCTGATTGTTCTTGATCACATGAGCCCCCCCAGTGTCTATCAGTCTTAGACATGCAGCCCCTTCTGTGTCCTTGGCCTTTTGTTTCCTTATTTGCCCTTGCTCTGCAGAGGCCTCCCTTGCAACTGTACCTCCTCACACACACAGCTCACATCTTACCTGTACCCAGCATCCACCTCACCTCTGGGGAGCCCTCCCTGAACCCCAGTTGAGTTCCTTTGCAGTGGTGGCCCAGCCCTATGTAATATTACCACTGCTTCCTCTTCCAGGCAACAGAGACATCCAGATGATCAGCTGTGGGGCTGACAAGAGCATCTACTTTCGCAGTGCCCAGCAGGTAGAGTGGGGTGGCCGCCTTGCGGGGGGTAGGGGTGGGGCTTGTCACAGTTGTCCTTTGAATGTCCTGCCTGCCCTGCCAGGGCTCGGATGGGCTCCACTTTGTCCGTACCCACCACGTGGCAGAGAAGACCACCTTGTATGACATGGACATTGACATTACCCAGAAGTATGTGGCTGTGGCCTGCCAGGACCGCCATGTGAGGTGAGGAGGTGCCCTGGGCCCTTCCTCAGGCTGGCCCAGGCTGCTTTATGAGTGGGGCCTGTATAGGACCTATTTGAGTCTGTTTTCTCATGAGCTGTCTGCTTTCTTTCCCCTGCTCATCTGGTCTCTGAGAGGCTGAGTGATTGCAGGGACCCAGCAGGTGTTTCTTAGGACCTGGGCTCACCTGGGCATAGCCTCCAGGTCAGCAGAGGGTTCCTTCTGGCTCTCCAGAAGCCCATGTAGGGTGACTGAGAGGTGCTGATGTGACTCATAAACTTATTCATTCACCTCCATTACCTGAGCACCTGTCTGAGATGGACAGTGCAGGAGGAACAGCAGTGAGCAGGGCAGCCTCAGGCTGTGCCTTCACAGAGCTCATAGTCCAGTGGAGGAGACATAGACCTTTCACCAGCGAGTGACAGCTTGGAGTGGTCAGGGCTGGGATGGGGATAGTCCAAGGGGTTGGGGGCCCTGGGGAGATATCTGACCCCACCTCTGCTTGACGGAAGAAGCGTCTAAGCTGAGACTCTGAAGGATGTGGAGGATTAAGCCAAGGGAGGGGAGGGAGTGTAAAGGACACAGCATGTGCAAAGAGGTTCTCCACCTCTTTCATCTGCTCATTCAAATTGGGTGCCAGGCACTCACAGCTTACTCTGTGGCAGGGGAGATGGATATTAATTCAACAGACACCCTGATGCATCATTTCCATGACCTGAGCCTGAGACAGTATCTCATTCTCTGAGATAGGGTTTCAGCCCAGACATCTAATGGGGGGTAAGGGGTGGCAGTGGCCTTCCAGGGAAGAAGATGGGGCGGGTGGGCAGATCCATGTTGGCTATGTTCTGTAACTACCTCCCTAGAGTCTACAACACCATAAATGGAAAGCAGAAGAAATGCTACAAGGGCTCCCAAGGTGATGAAGGGTCCCTGCTGAAGGTGAGGAATCAGGGCCCTGGGGGTGAAAACTATACATGAACCCCACACACAGGGTCCTCTTTGTGTCAGCTGTCCTGATGAGCCACCTTAGACCTATGTCCTCCTTGGCACCTGATTAAAGGATCACATCCTGGCCAGCCACCCACTCTGGCCTGGTTAACGAAGGATGCATGGGAGCTGGGGGTGGCCTTGACTACTTCACCTTTATTTACTGAGTCCTTCCCTACTTGGGGGTTTCCACTTAGGGAAGTGGCAACAGAGTTTGGTGGGAAAGAGTCCTGGGCTCCCCTGCCAGGCTTGCTCTTGCCTGTGTTATCCAGGCCAAGGCAGGGATCTTCTCAGAGCCTCTGGACTAATTAAGAGTTCAGGCTCCAGGGTCAGAATCCCCCCGCACAGCTCTGACTCAGGCTGACTGTGACCTTGGGCAAGTGTCACCTCTCGAGTCTGGTTCGTCATCTGTAAAATGCAGCAGGTACAAAGAGTTTCTGTCATAGGGTTGTTGTGTGGGGGAAATAAGTTGCACACACACAGTGCTTATAGCACAGGGCCTGGCTGCCATCAGTGCTGTTGTTGTGTTTGTTAATTTCTGTACCTGTGAGAGGGGAGCAGGAGTTCCTACCCTACCAAGGGTGTGTGTTATGAGGGATCTCTGGGATGAGCCTGTGTACCAAGTGTCCAGCACAAGGGTGATCCTCAATCAGTGGGGACTGCAGTCTTTGACCTGGGCCTCACCATAGAGAAGAAGCAGGCAGCATAAAGCATCACTTGCATTCTCTCCTTGGCAGGTCCATGTGGACCCCTCAGGCACCTTCTTAGCCACAAGCTGCTCTGACAAAAGCATCTCAGTGATTGACTTTTACTCGGGCGAGTGCATTGCCAAGATGTTTGGCCATTCTGGTGGGTGTGCCTCCCTGCTTGGGACATCTCCCCACCTGCCCCCACACAGGCTTCTGACTCAGAAGGTCAGCGCAGCTTCTCTGTTCTGCTTCTAGAAATCGTCACCGGCATGAAGTTCACCTATGACTGTCGTCACTTGATCACAGTATCTGGAGACAGGTGGGAAAGGCCTAGAGGCTGCTCCTGGCTGGCCTCCCTCTGGGAATGTATGGGATCTACACTGTAGGGAGGCCTGGGGCTTAGACATTGGGATACCAGGCTTACAACCTGCCTGTGCAGAGAGCTCTTCTGAGTATTCCACCTTTCTTTCTCTTTGGACAGCATGCACCTTGGTATCACACCCAGCCCTGAGTTCAAATCTGCTACTTATTTACTTGTGACCTTGAGCAGGTCATTTCCCCTCTCTGAGCTTCCATTTGTTCTTTGTAAGAGAGTTGATACCATTTACCTTGAAAATTGTATGGTGAGAATCAAATGAGATGATTATATATATCATCCTGATATATTTCCTTATGTAAATTATATATGTAACAATTTATAATAAATATAATAAAAATAAATTCCCTAACACATGGACTTCCAAGGAAGTCCCCTTTGTTGCTTCCTTCAGTTTACTACATCGCTTCCTCTCAGCCTCTTTCCTTGGTCTGGAGGTGCTCAGAGCAGGCCCTGGTTAGCTGGGGTGCCCTGGAGGCCCTGCCCAGGGTATAGACTTGACATGGTCTGGAGCCCCTGCATGGGGTGTTTTCCAAGGTGACAGGGAATGGGGTCTTGGCTGTGATGACTGAGGTGGCTTCAGAGTCAGATGACTTTCATAGTCAGTGTTTCTCCCCCTTCCACCTCTCTCTTTGGCCTCTACAGCTGTGTGTTCATCTGGCACCTGGGCCAAGAGATCACCAACTGCATGAAGCAGCACTTGCTGGAAATTGAACATCAGGAGCAGCAGCAGCAGAACACAAAGGATGGGAAGTGGAGCAGCCACCCCAGGTCCTAGCAGCCACCTGTACATCCCCTATCTCTTCTTCCCAGGAGGAATATTTTCTTGCTCTAGGCCCTGAGAGCCATAGCCAAGACAGCCCTGGACCTTGCCTTTTGTGCACTCTCAGGGTGGGAGATGGTCTTTGAATACAAAGCTATAATAACACACATGAGAAGGGTTTTGGAGTGGAAAAGCAAAGTACTTGGAGAGCCTGTGAGTACTGTGATGCGGGAAGCCCCAGGAAGCTGTGGAGACCGGAGGAAGCCCCTGACCCAGGAGGGAGGTAGTCAGGGAAGGGTCCAATGGCATTGAATGCTTTCTTACTCTTTGAAGTTCTCATGCTGGAAGACCACTTTTATTTGGAGTGAATTTATGCTCTAGTTTTTTATTTGGGATTTTGGTTTAGAGATCTCAGTTTTAATGGGAGATTGTGGGTTTTTCCTCTCTCCTGGCCCTGGAGCTGTCCCCGTCTCTCTGTCTTGAGGCTTTGTCTTCATATCCCTGTGGGGACCAGGCCTTGGCATGTGCTGCCTACCCTGCAGTGGGTTTGGAGGTATTGTAGATATAGGCATCAAGGGAGAGAGCAGCTACCTTTGGCTCTTAGTTTTGAGTCTCACACCCTACCCTGGGGCTGCAGCAGGATCCTGGCTCCAGTGCCCAGATTGTATCAAGCATGTTGTAGTCTCCTGTACTCCAAAGGAGCTAAAATCTCATTGATACCCCCTATTTCCCAAAGCAGATCCCAGCAGCTCAGTACTCAAGCCCCATGGTCTGCTTTGTTCTTCAAAGATCCCATTGATGTGGCCTTTGGAGTTTCTTATTTTTTGAGCCCGACCTTTCTTATATCTCATTTAGTATAGTGATATATTTCTAGCAGAGTGGGTGTGGCAGGTGAGACCTCCCAGAACCATATGTTCATATGAAAGCCAGCACAGGGCCCTGGCCCTAGGCAGATCCCTCTAGGACCCCATTTACCTATCTTTCTCCTTGCCTTCCTCATTCCTGGCTTCAGGCGGGAGACATATATATCCAGCAAGATTTGTTCCCTAAGCCCTGGAGAGCAGACAGAGGATGAGCTGGAGGAAGAGTATGAACCTGAAAAGTTGCTGAAGACACCATCCAAAGAGAGTTTGGATCCAGGTCGGGAAACTGATCCATCCAAAGGAGCCCTCATTTGACCTCTGTCAGTGTAGGGGTCATTGCTGGGTTTCACCCACTGCTTTGTTTTCAGTGCCTGGCACACACTGAAGCTCAATAATCATATTGGTCAGGGCTCTCTCAGTGTAATAACAACCAGACTGTCATTCGTATAGCTAGAAAAAGAATTTATTGGTTCATGTACCTGAAAATTTGAGAGGATGACTTCAGGCATAGCTGGATCCAGGGAGTCAGGTGAGGTTAAAGGAATGTATTTTTTTCTGTTTCGGCTCTACTTTTCTCCATATTGGTTTTGCTGTCAGACAGACTTCCTTTCCTGGGAGTTAGGGATGTAAAGAGGATGTCTCAGGGAAAAACAGAGCACGTTAACCAGAAGATAGAACAGATTTTGTTGTTCAGGCAAAAAGGAGAGTAGTAGCTTAATGATTTATAAAAGGCCAGGCTCGCTATAAATTTCTACCCCTCTGCACAGTGCCTTAGTTGGCATAGGCCCTCATGGTTGCAAGATGGCTGCTTAAGTTCCAGGCATCTGAGCCATAGTTGAATAGGACATTTCTTCCTAGAATATTCTTTAGAAAGGAACATTTTCTACCCTGGCTGGTGTGGCTCAGTGGTTTGAATGCCAGAATGCAAACCGAATGGTCGCTGATTTGATTCCTGGTCAGGGCAGATGCCTGGGTTGCAGGTTCCATCCCTGGTGAGGGCACATACAGAAGACAGCTGATTGATGTTTTTCTCCCTTTCCTTCTCCCTTCTCCTCTCTCTAAAAAAAATAAATAAAATCTTTTTTAAAAAAAGAAAGAAAGGAATATTTTCCCAGAAGCCCCTGACAGGCTTCTCTCAGGTCTCACAGGTCCTGATTGCTCCAGCTATGAGAGAAGCTGGGGACAGTGATTAGCACTGAGTGCTTTTAGTGTGGGTGGTGGGCTTTACCAACAAGGGCCACACATGGCTGATTGGTAAGCAGCAGCAATATGAGAATTCAGTCTTGGGAAAAAATCAGGATAAGTTAATATTCTTTGTCACCACCCTTACTCCTGATCCAGTGTCCTCTCCAGGATAACCACTTCTTTAAAATTTTTTTAAAATATATTTTATTGATTTTGCTATTATAGTTGTCCCAATTTTCTCCCTTTGTCCCCCACCCCATACCCTGCTTCCCTCCAGCAGTCCCTTCCCTTAGATCATACCCATGGGTCATGCATTTCCTATACTGTTCTTAACATCCCCCTATTTTGTACCTACCAATCTGTACTTAATATCCCTGCACTTTTTCTCTCATTCTGCCTCCCCCAAGCTGATAACCCTCGAAATGATCTCCATATCTATGATTCTGTTCTTGTTCTGCTTGTTTGCTTAGTTTGTTTTTTACATTCAGTTGTTGATAGTTGTGCATTTGTTGTCATTTTGTGTTCATAATTTTTATCTTCTTTTTCTTATCTAGTTCCCTTTAACATTTCATATAAGAATGGCTTGGTGCCCTGGCTGGTGTGGCTCAGTGGATTCAGTACCAGCCTGTGAAACAAAAGGTTTCTGGTTCATTTCCCAGTCAGAGCACGTGTCTGGGTTGTGGGCCAGGTCCCCAGCTGGGGTTGTGCAAGAGGCAATGTATCTCCCACACACTGTTTCTATCCCTCTCTTTTTCCTTCCCTTCCCTTCTTTCTAAAAGTAAATTTAAAAAAAAAAATCTAAAATTAATTAATTAATTTTTTAAAATAATGGCTTGTTGATGATAAACTCCTTTAGTTTTACCTTGTCTGGGAAACACTTTATCTGTCCTTCCATTCTAAATGATGGCTTTGCTGGATAGAGTAATGTAAGTTGTAGGTCCTTGTTTTTTTGGTTTTTTAATTTTTTTTAACATTTTATTTTTTAAAATTAATTTATTTTTAGAGAGGGGGAGGGAGAAAGAGAGGGAGAGAAACATCAATGTGTGGTTGCATCTGGCGCACCCCCCACTGGGGACCCAGCCTGCAACCCAGGCATGTGCCTTGCACTGGGAATCGAACCGGCAACACTTTAGTTCACAGGCCCACGCTCAATTCACTGAGGCACACCAGCCAGGGCTGTAGGTCCTTGTTTTTTATCACTTTGAATATATCTTGCCAGTCCCTTCTAACCTGTAAGTATCTTTTGAGAAATCAGCTGACAGTCTTATGGGGACTCCTTTGTAGGTAACTCTCTGCTTTTCTCTTGCTGCTTTTAAGATTCTCTCTTTATTTTTAACCTTTGGCATTTTAATTACGATGTGTCTTGGTATGGTCCTCTTTGGGTCCAACTTGTTTGGGACTTTCAATGCTTCCTGGACTTGTATGTCTGTTTCCTTTACCAAATTAAGGAAGCTTTCTTTTATTTTTTCAAATAAGTTTTCAAGTTCTTGCTCTTCCTCTTCTCCTTCTGGCACCCCTGTAATTCAGATGTTGGTATGTTTGGAAATGTCCCAGAGGCTTCTTGTTCTATTCTCATATTTTTAAATTCTTTTTTCTTCTTGCTCTTCTGACGGAATGCTTTTTTCTTCTTTTTGTTACAAATCATTGATTTGAATCTCGGCTTCATCCCCTCCACTGTTGGTTCCGTGTAGATTTCTCTTATTTCTCTTAATGCAACCTTCATTTCTGCCTGGGTCTTTTTTATGCTGTTACAGTACCCAATGATTCCTTTGAGCATCGTGGTAACCAGTGTTTTTAACTGTGCAGCTGCTGGGTTGCTTATCTCCATTTCATTTAGTTCTTTTCCTGGAGTTTTGTTCTGTTCTTTCATTTGAGCCACATTTCTTTGTCTTCTCTGTTTGGCAGCCTCCCTGTATTTATTTCTGTGTATCAGGTAGAGCTGCTTTGATTTCCTGTCTTAGTAGAATGGCCTATTGTAGAAAAGAAACACATCTAGATGAATGAGCCTTCTTTAAATCATTGGTTGTTGGACTTCCATGCAGCTTGATTTTCTGACGAATCTGGGTGATGTTTGTTTTGCAGTTTAGTTGTAATTTTTGCTGTAGTTGTGCGTGGAGGCAAAGCATATTTACCTGCGCCTATGTCTTGGCTGGAAGTCTCTTAATCTGCCCCCGGCAAGCCGGGTGGAGGGGTGACCCCTTTTATGAGTTCCATGTAAATCGTTATAGGCCTTTCCCTTAGCATTAAGAATCATATGTATATATCCATAGGAAACACATATTTATGCCCATAAACTATTATACTAAAGATATCATTCTGTATCTTTTTCCTCTCAAAAGTATCTTATCCACCTGTACATTGGTGGATACAAAGCACAGGCTTCCTCTTTTAACTGGCAACATAGTAAGGGTACTTTAAATTACTCCCTCTGGGTGGGCATTTAGCTTTTTTCTAACTTTATACTGCTGTGAAGGAGGCTAAGTGCCTGGGCCTCCCCGCTGGACCTGTGTGAGAGTGTTTCTCCAAGAGAGAAGCCAAGGACTGGCACTGCTGGGCCCTGGGGTTAGTACACTTTTTCTTTTAAAAGAGAACTCCAAGGGCCCTCCTCATGCCCTACCCAGCAGTCAGTGTTAAGCCCTTCCTTCCCTCATATTTTTGCCAGCATTTGATAGTATGAAGCATTTTAATTTGGTCAAACCTTAGGGGTAAAACATTATATCCCGTTATGTAAATGTGCATTTCCCTGACAATGAGTGAGGTTGCGCATCTTTTAACATGTTTGTGGTTTTCTATAGTGTTTAGAGGATTGCTTGTTTATGTTTGTTGCCCATTTGTCTGTTGGGTTCTTTATTCTCTTTTCATGGATTCCATGTGTCTCTTCAGACCCTCGGTGCCTGCTGACCAATGGCAAGCTGCCACTCTGGGCAAAGCGGCTGGTGAGTCTGGGATGCCTGGGGGCTGGCAAAGTAAGGCTACCCTCCTCCATGGTTTTGTTTCTTCTAAGAGTGCTCCCCACACCTTACATCTCTCTTTTCCCTGGAGAACCCCATCGCCCTTCTAGCCTCAGCTTAGATAGTCTTTCATTCATGCAACATGTATTTGCTAGGCACCTTCCCTCTGCTAGGCATTGAGACACGGCAGTAAACAAAAGGAGACAAAATTTCTGCCTTCACAGGCTCATTTGCTTGTGTGGGAGACAGACAATATCCATAGTAAACTAAGTGCTATGGAGGAAAAAAAATTGAAAAGGAAAATAAGGAGTATTGGGAGAAGGGTGACAATTTTAGAGTAAACAGAAAAGGCTTCACTGGGAAGATGATATTTGAGCAGAGTTGAAGTGAGAAATGCAGATCCTGGGAAAGAATTTTCCAGGCAGAGAGACCAGTTTGAAAGAGCAAAGGCCATGAGGCAGAATTGTGCTTAATATGTTCGAGAAAGTTCAGGGGCACTCAGGTGCCTGGGTTGAGGGTAGATAAGGAGGAGAATGGGAGAAGGGCTCAGGGGGCCAATGGGGGCCAGATGGTGTGGGGCCATGTGGGTTGTGGTGTACACCCTTGATACTCCTTGTTGTCCTTCTCCACTTATTTTTTTTCCTTTTGCAGTGAGTGAGATGGAGTCAAGGGAGGGCTCAGAGCCGGGGATGGCCATGATCTAACTCATGTATTAACAGGTCCCTGTGGCTACTTGTTGGAAACAGACTCTGAGAGGGAAGCAGGGGGACTAGGGAATAGACTGCTGAGATAATCCAGGCAGGAAAGATTGGAGGCTGGAGCAGGAGGAAAAAAAATGGTTGGATTCTAGAGGGATTTTGAAAGTAGAGCCAAATGATTGGATTGTGAGAGGAAGAGAGAAATCCAGACAATGTTAAGATTGAGTGAGTGATTGTTTTCTTGGAAGAAAGGCAGACTTGGAGCTAGTGGCTTAGAAGCTGGTAGCAGAATCCTAAACCATAGGTTGGAATAATGTCAGACCTCAGCTCAAAGCCTACAGGAAAATACTCCCCTGCTATCCCCTTCTCTGCAGACCAGGTCAGGGTATCTGGACATGCTCTCTCAGGTCCCCAAGCTTCCCCTTATCAGTGCATATTAGAATTGCAGTTGCATTCATCAAATAATCACTGTACATTTACTTTGTGTGGGCTTTGTTCTAAGTCTTTTGTATGTGTTATCTCATTTAATTCTCATTGAGGCAGGGGCTGTTCATAACCCCATTTCACAGATAGAGGCCCAGAGAGGTTAAGTAACTTGTCCAGGGTCACACAGCTAGGAATTATAGGATGTGGGATTCATTGTAGGCAGGCTGGCTCCAAAACCTCAAACACCCAGCCTTCTCTGTATCTCAAGCAACAGTCTTGGTAGTAGGCAGCGGTGGGCTGGACCAGGGCGGGAGGAGAAGTGGCTGTATCTTGGATGTGTTTGAATGGCAGGGCTGACAGAATTTGCTGAAGAAATACAATGTGGAGTATGAGGGACAGAGTAAGACGAATGAAAGATGACCTCAAGGTTTGGGGTCTGGACAACTGGAAAGAATAGCTGAGACAGGAAAGGCTTTAGGAAAAGCAGGTTTGGGGAGGAGGGGATCAGTTTTAAACATGTTTGCTTTGAAATGTCCACTAAACATCCATGTGGATTGTAGAGCAGTTGCATGTGTGCTTCTGAAGTTTAAGAACGAGGTTCAGGCTGGAGATAGATGTCTGGAAGTTATTTCTGGGTAGTGTTTAAAGCCAAGAGACTGGATGGGGTTCATGCAGTGTCCCTGGCTCTCACTGGAGTTGGTGATCACTTGGCTGGCTGGCTGATCATTCTGTCACCCCCAGCTAGGAGAGGACAATGTGGTGGATGGCTCTGCATTCCGCGCCAAGCGCAGCTACCAGCCACATGGTCGCTGGGCAGAGCGGGCTGACCAGGAACCCCTCAAGACCATCCTGGTCCATGACATGGATTGCTTCTTTACCCCCATGAAGTCTGACAGCCTGGACGACTCCATCCTGGACACACTGGAGCCACAGAACCTGGCAGGCCTGCTGAGTGAGGTAAGGACTTCCTGCTACAGCCCAGCCTAGAGCCACTGCACCACTGTCTGCTCCAGACTTTGCACCTCAGTGCTCTCATTTTGAAAATATGGCTGACTGTCCCACTCCAGGGGTGAGAGAGGACAGCCTGAGATGGCAGGGGGCAGTGATCACCAACTCCAATGAGAGCCAGGGACACTGCATGAACCCCACCCAGTCTCTTGGCTTTAAACACTACCCAGCCCTGGTGCACAGTGAGACTTCCTAGGGCAGATCAGGAATCTGAGAGGTGGGTCTCTTTGGGGGTTAAGAGTTTGGGCCCAAGAGCAGGCCCGTGCTTGAGTGGAGGGCATTTGAACAAGTGGAGACTGGCCCTACCTCTTCCCAGTTGTGTGAATTAGAGCAAGGCTTGCCTCTCTGGCCCTCAGTCTTCAAAAATATGGACGTAAAAAAAAAAAAGGTGACCAAAAAGATCTCTTGAAAATGGCCATTAAAAAATAGCCGTCAGCCCTGACTGGTATAGCTCAGTTGGTTGGGCATCATCCTGCAAAGCAAAAAGGTGGCCAGTTCGATTCCTGGTCAGAACACATGCCAGGATTATGAGTTTGGTCCCCAGCTGGGGCACGTACATAAGGCAGCCAGTTGATGTTTCTCTCTCACATTGATGTTTCTCTCCCTCTCTTTCTCCTTCTCTTTCCTTCTCTCTCAAAAAATAAATAAAATCTTATTTTTATTTTTATTTTTTTTAAAAGCCCTCAGAGGACTTTTACAGAAATCCAATGCTAAGAATAGGGACTGGGCCCATTTGAGGTACTAAAGCACTGGTCCCATTTGCGGTACTAAAGCAATTTTAGCTCTTATTATTTTCCAAATAAATTTTTTTATCCTATTATATGTTTTCTTTTTATTGTGGCACAATATACATACAGTTATGTGCACAAAGCTTAGGTAAATAGCTTGATGAATTGTTACCTGTATATATTTCTATGTATATGTGCCACCCAGGTTAAAATATAGAGCATTTTCTACCTCCAGGAAGACCCCCTATTCCCCTCCCAGTTAGTACTTTAACCCAAGGTAAGCAGCATTCTGACCTCTCAGCATGGACTGGTTTGCCTGTCCTTGAACTTCATATGAATAGACTTTTATAATGCAGTTGGGCGTGGAGTGAGCTTGTGGTGAACAAAGGGCTTGGCCCAGGCCCTGGTGCACAGTGAGCATCCCACAGTGGGGGATGACATTATCCCTGACATCTTTACCATAACACTTAGAAGCCTGCAAGTGTCCTGGTTGCCACAGCTGCCTCCGATGGCTGTGCCCTTTTACCCACAGTCAGAGAATCCTCAGGAAGATGGCTGTAGGAATCCCTCCTTCCTGCCCCTACAGAGGGAGTCTTCTGAAGCCAGAGAGGTCAGCATCTCCCTAGAGGCGGAAGTGCCAGTCCCAGGGACAGACAGGTAAGTGTCCTTTGCACCAAGGGGAGTCTTAGTTGGAGAGAGGAAGTCTCAGCTGGCAGGCATGCTCTGGAAGAACTGCTCTCCCAGTGGGCCTGTGGGAGTGGAGAGAAAGGGGTATGGTCCTGATGGAACAGGAGCCCAGCCCTGCAGCCCATTTCCATGGTTCGAGGTGGAGGTACAAGGGACTCCTGGAGGAAGGGAGCCTTTGGAGGAGGCAGGAGAGGCAAGGTAGTGCACCCAAGAGGAGCAGGGTGCAGATGCCTCAGGGTTCCGTGTAGGGGCCAGTTGTTTACTAAATATTATGTTATCATTCCCTCGCCCTGCCCATATTGACATTGCAGCAAGTGTGGCTGGAAGGTGGTGAAGGGGGAACCTGAAGACCAGCAAGATGACTTCTACCTTGGGGTCTCCTCCATGGGCTCGAAGGATCAGAGCAAACTTGAGGGTGAGTGAGGGTCGGGCAAGGACGCTGCCATAGTCTATTGATCTGTCTAGACCCCTTTCTGGGCACTGATGATGACCTTGACCCAGCCTTCCTGAAACTCAAGAGTGTTGCAGAAGACAGATACGGTCCTTGATGTTCCCAGAGGACTCTGGAGCCCAGCTGCCCACCGATGGAAGCCCAGCTCTGCCACTTCCTACAAGTGTAACCTTGTTTGTCCATAAAAATAGGTACAGGTATTATCATCCCCAGTTTCCAAATGGGGAAACTGAAGCCCCCCAAAATTGGGCTTCTTACCTGACTCACCCAAAAAAGGACCTGGCTTTGGGCCTCTGACTTCCCCATAACATCGCCTCTCTGCTCCTTTAGACTCAGGGGATTCAGAGGCCTTCTTGGAACATACCTTCCCCACCATCCCTTCCTCCCTTCCACACCTGGACCCAGACCCTTAGTTTGACATGATAATTACCACCCTCCCCCGCCGACCCCCCCGCATACCAAGTAAATAGGGGCCAGGCACAAGGAAGGGCAGTGCGTGGGCCTGTTTAGGGAATGGTCATGATACATAAAACTGGCCCCACATCAGCTGCACACTTGGTGCCCACTAAGGCTTACCTGGAAGGCAGAGCTGTTAGTTTCCTTCTCGGCCTGGTGGCAACAAGGCATATGCTGGGTGAGTCCAGCTTTCTCTCTTGTGAAGTGTCTGATATGTTTATCAGCTGTCTGCCATGACTCATGGTATTGAAGGTTCTCTCCTGCCTTCCTGCTTTGCCTCTCCACAGAATGCCCAGGAACTACAGAAGAGTTGTCCCAGCCTGAGGTACCAGACATATCCAATGGCTCCCTGCCCCAGACACCTGAGCAAGAGAAGTTTCTCCGGCACCACTTTGAGACACTTACTGACGCCCACCCTGAGGGTAGGGCCCTGCCCCTCTCAGCCCTGCCTAGGTGGACCATCCAGTGCTAAGCACAGTGTGGGCATCTCTGGGTTAGGGCTTTCCCCAGCAGGGCTGCTGAGGGTAGTGGGAGGGCATGTTTTATCTTAAGGACTAAGCTGCATGGTTTCCTTTTCCTGCTACAGTTGCTGTGTGTTGTCTATTGATGGGGGTTTTTGAGGATCTGCCTGGACCTAGAACTAGTTGGCTGGAGGGACTCTGAGGTTTCCCTTGGCATCTTTCCCTAGAGCTCTTTCACAGATCCCTAAGAGATGTGACAGCCTCTGAGGATGAGGACTTTCTAAATCCCCGGCTGAGCATGTCAGCCCAGTTTCACTCACGCTTCCAGAAGACATCCAGGTAGGCGCTGGTGAACTAGTGAACATTCCAGCTCTCTATTCCCCCAGGGTGGAGCTGTATCCTCTCAAGCACCCCCAGGGCAGACACAACTGCCTGGTTTCCTCCCACAGGCTCAACCACACCTTCCCTTCCCGGCTGCCCTTGAACCTCCTGAAGTCCCCAGAGGTCAAAGTGATGGACCTCGGGGGAAACCAGCCCAGAGCAGAGCCTCTGAGAGCAGGTACTAGCTACGCCTTCCCAGACAGGACCAACGTGAGTACTTGGGCCACCTCCTCGGGACATAGGACTGGGAACTGGGAGGCCCTGTCCTCACCTCATGGCTCTGCTTGCAGGTCCTCCCTGGGGGAAAGGCTAAGGAGACTCTTGACACCCTGGAGGCCTGGTGCCCACTGAGTGAGTGTCACCATCCCTACTAAACAGCCCTGAGCTTCTCAGCAAATGGCCCTGAGTGTCCAGTTAAACCATGGGTGGGGATGGGCATGGTCCATTTAGACCCTGCAGCCACCCTGGGGTGGGGCCCTGTCTATCATTTCTGCAGCTTGGGTGTGAGAGTGAACCAGCTGCTTTCTTTACAGCCCCCTGCCTCACAGGCCTGCCTTCCTGCATCCCTTCTTTCTCAATGCTGCCCACAGACAGGAAGCCTCTGAGGCCCACAGCCCTACTCATTCCAGGCCTCCACAGCTCCTCTACCTGCTCCCACATGGAGGCTGCTGCCAGCTCCTATGCAAAGATGTCACACAGCATCTCCCTTGAGGACATTGAGGACCCTGTCCTGGCTGAATTGACCAGACCCCTCTGCAGGCCGTCATCCATGGGGGAGCTGGCCTCCCTGGACCAGGAGCTTCAGTCCATCATCACCACTACAGCAGCACCCAGTTCTGACAGCAAGGGCCAAGAGCCTGCCCTGACTTCCCAGGGCAACCATGAAGCCCAGGCCAGCCTCAAACAGACCCTGTCAGGCGTCTGTGACAGGCTCTTAGTGCCCCCACCCCCACAGGAGTCAACTACTACTTGTGTCTGGTCCCAGGAACCTGTGGCCACCCAGCCTGATGTCACAGTTACAAGAGCTAGCTTCCCAGCTCCCATAGATGTGAGCTCCCTGAGGCTCCACAACTCCACCTTTCTCCCAAGGCTTCTGGCCCCTGGGTCCCTCAACACCCCTGCCCACACCGACCGACCCTCACTTCCAGAGGCCATGTCTGGGGGCCCTGGCAGCATCACATCCCTCCTGGAGCTCACCCCTGGTGAGTGTCACCCTTGGGATAAGGTGTTGTCTCCTAAGCTCACCCCATGTAACAACTAGCTCAGCTCCAAAGGTGGGCACTTGACCTGACCACAGGGGCTGTGCCATTCATTCATTCACTGAACTATTTAGTGAGCACTTTGTATGTGTTGGGCTTTTTGTTCTAGACCCTGAGGACATGGATGGGCTGTGGTGGTAAACAACTACAGAGAACTGACACCTTAATTGGGGAAGATGCCTAAACTAAATCTATGCGTAAAGTGTTAAGTGTATCATGAAGTGATGTGTGCTCAGGAGAGAAATAAGAGAAAGGCTTTAGGGAGTGGGAAGTGGGGACAATGGTTACATCTTTAAACAGGATGATGAGAAAAGGCTTCAGAGAGAAGGTGGTATCTGAACAGAGACCTGCAGGAGGGTAGGGGAGGGAGCCTTGCAGACTGAGGGAAGTATTCCAGGCAGAGGGACAACAATTGGGTTTGGCCCAGCCCCCCTGGTCTCTCTTAGACCAGTTATATAGTAGAGGTATCTTTCTCATTCCCTCCTCTCTACTCCTAGATGCGCTCAATGTAGTCCAGGACAGCCGTGGACACTGGGGGGAGCCTGGGGTGCCAGCTAGAGTCCTCTCCCCGGTTCCCTTTGAGCTGATCAGGGTGGGGACCATCGTGCACAAACTGCAGACTGCCTTCCAAGAAGCCCTGGACCTTTACCACCTGGTGAGCCAAGCCCCAAAGTCAGGGGAAAGGGCTAAAGGGATGCTCTGGGACAACCTGACCTGAGTGGTCCCTAATAAGGTCAGCACTCCTTGCAGATGGTTTCCAGTGGCCAGTTGAATACCAAGCAGCAGCAGGCACGGACTGAGCTGGCCTCCACCTTCCTTTGGATCCACAGCCAGTTAGAGGCCAACGGCTGGCTGGTTGGGAGTGATGCGGCCCCAGCCCAGGCCCTGGCCAGCCCAGGTCCTCCCTCCCCACCTACATTGTGCCCTCTGGCTAGCCCAGACTTGCGTGCCCTGCTGGAACATTACTCGGAGCTCCTGGTGCAGGCCGTGCGGAGGAGGGCACAGGAGGACTGAGGGCCAGCAGCCCTGCTATTTTCTGATGAACAGATATTAAAAGCAAATAAACTGACAACTTGGAGAAATGGTTCCTGGTGCCTATGCTGGCACATCCACAAAACCCCCTTTCAGGTGGATGCAGGGAGGGAGGGTAGAGAACAATATCTCTGGTAGGCCAGCTCAGGGAACTCACATAAGCCCTGTTCACAGAATCTGTCAATGGGAACATGGGACCAACATCCCCAAGAAGTTTGGGAACTGCAGTAATGATAGTCCCATGTCGCTCATCCCCATCCTACTGGCCTATTGAGGAATCACGTGTAGTCCTTGCCTAATGGGCCCCAGCTCTACCCCAGGAAAGGGTCAGTCGTTCCCTACCCCTGCTGATGCCCAAGAACCCAATGGAGCTGCTGTGATCACCATGTGCCAGACCCTGACAACCAGTACCACACCACTGGCCCCTGGGCCTGGCCCATGCCAAATCCTCTGAGGTCCAGGTTTTTGTCCCCATCTGCAGCAGGGGAAATTGAGGAGAGACAAACAGGTTTATCAACTGGACAATCTGGGCAGCATGCCCAGGCCACCCAGCAGCTGGACAGCAAGAGGACTGTGTCCAACTTCAAGATCCTATGAGCTGCCAGCAGTGATACCGGCTTCCCCAGGCAGCAGGCATCTGGTCACATGGCATGTTAGCTAAGAGGGCCACTCTTGTGACCACAAAGGCCCCCCCTGTCCCAAGTGTATATAAAGGAAGCCAGCAGGGGTGGGGCCCTCTCCTAAACCACTGTTCTACCATGCGGATTCTTGTGGCCTGAACCCCCACTTGCCTGTTTCTCCCTGCTTTGTTTGATGGTCATGGCCCTCCAGAAATGTTCAGGGAGAATCCAGTGTCTTGTCCAGGGTCCCATAGAGCTGAGATTCAATCCTAGGCTTACCTGGTGGAAGAGCTGGACCTTTGAACATGAGGACATGGCCCAGTGCTGCCTTCATAAACATTGAGACATGTCAGAACCAATCATGCAATTGTTTAAAAAAAAAAAAACCCTGCTGGCACCCAGGTGTCTCTCACTGTTCTACATATTAGGGGTACAGTGAGGAACAGAACCAACAAAGCATCTGCTCTGTGGCATTCACCTAGAGAGCAAAACACAGAAGAATTAAAATTATTAACTAGATAAACTAAGGGAATTCACTATGCTGGTTCGAGTATCAGAGAAGGCCATTCTGAGGTGATATTTGAGCTGAGGGTTGATAGAGGATACAAGCCCTGTGGACATCTCAGAAAAGTATACAGGCAGACAGAACAGCCAGTGCAAAGGCTCCATGAGGGGATCAAACGTATATGTGAGAAACCAACAAAGCCAGGACAGCTGGAATAGAGCTGCGGGGAAAGGGCGGGAGAAAGAAAGATCACACCAGGCAGGGCCCTGTTGCTTCATGACATTCAAATCCAAGAAACATTCACAGCACAATTTTCCCCGCTAAAGTCCCTGATATTGGTGTTTGGGGAGATGGCCAGTTTTGTTTATTTTTCAAAGCTCCCTCTCCCTGCCTTAGTGAGCCCATGTGGTCCAGGCCTCATAATTGGGCTGCATCTCTGCCAGGAGATTTCTTGCCCAGGCCCACAGGCCACCCTTAAAGACTGGAGAAGCATTCTCTTTGCTCCTGCCTAGCTTGGCCGCAGTCACCCAAGTCCTTGAGGCAAGGTTTGGGGTTCAGGGCCCTGGACACCCAGGGAACCAATGTGAGGCTCTATCCCTTGGGAAATTTACCCCGTCTCCCAGCCTGTATTAGTAAGCCTTCAACTCCAAGTAGCAAACACCTGGCTTATAGGGACACATACTGTAAGGGACATTTGTTATTCTTGATTATGTCTCTGCTCTTATCACCCTCTGACCCTGAGTTTCACCTTCCAGTTTAGGCTCTCACAATTACATCCACCATGCACTCAGCAGTACCCCTCTACCCAACCAATAGCAAAGGCACAAAGCAGGGCAGCTGCTAGGGTAGTGGAGGAAAAAAATTAGATTTCTTCCTAGAAGCCTTCCCCTTCAGAGCAGTCATGGGCAATGGGAATGGAGATTGCTTTGATGTGTTTGTACCACCGATCTCTCTTGTGCTGGACAAAACAAAATCGGGTTCTCAGTACAAAACGAGGTGGGCTGATAGTTTAGGAGAATCTAGTGTATCTGCTGCTCTCTGCTTCCAAAGGTCAAGCTCTTCAGATCAGAAAGACGAGACTTTCTCTTGGACAAACCAGCTGGTTAAGAAACTGCTGCTGATGAATATGTGTGCAAGTGGTTTATAGACCAACAGGATCTCAGCACAAAGAGGACAACATGTTCATTTGAGATATTTCAGAGAGTTTAGTGAAGGAATAAATTGCAAAGGAGTGGGCAGGGAAGAATGAAATCATAGCACGTTAGACCTGGTACCAGACGAGCGCTGTCACCGCCCGCACTCGTGAGGCCGAAGGGAGTGAAGTGAAACCCCAAAGAGCAAATCCTGAAAAGAGGGCTGCCCTGAGGGGACATGTGCCTCTGGCAACCCAACAGGGAGGGAGTTGGGAGAATCCCTCCCCACATCTGTATGGCCCCCCACTGTTTGTACCCTACTGGAAGCCAGAAGGCATAGGAGCTCAGATGATGCTGCCCACCCAAGTCAGCCTCCCACACAGAGCAGGGCAGAAAGGGAGTCTGGGGGAATATAAAGACACCCAACCCCAGGTTTCTTCTCTCAAATGTTTTAAGCAACAACAGAGGAATCAATTCCCCCATGACACACTGTGTTGAGCATGGAGAACTAGGCACCTAAGCAGAAACGGAATGGTTCCCCCTCACCAGCTCATTTAGTGCAGCCTGGCCCCTGCACTCCACAATGGACAGCTCCTAGACACTGAGCTTCCAGACCTGTGCCAGGCAAAAAAAAGTCATGGCTGCACGAAATCCAACAACTGTGAAATGGCAGCACTTAAACTGATCCATTTTACAGATGGGTCAGTTGAAACAGATGCTCACCTAGCCACTCCACCCCTCAAGACTTCCCAACAACTCCTCTGTTTATATGTCTGCCACATGCCAGCCACCATGCTCAGCACTCTCCCATGATCTGCATGGATCTTCAACACAAACTATACATATAGGGAGACTCGTTAGTCCCATTTTCCAGATGAAGAAATAGGCTCAGCAAGAAATGACTTGTTCCAGGTCCTGCAGAGATAAAGCAGCAAAGCTCTGGGCTAGCAGACTCTCAGCGCTGCCTCCCTAGCTTCTCCAAATGAATCAGCAGAACTATAGGGAATGTGAAGAAATGAATATTGATTCTTTCATCACCAAACCCTTGTATAGGCTGTTCCCTCTGCCTGGAACACTCTCCCCTTTCACTCTAACCCTCTTCTTTGTCCAGGGCTCATACCCAGGAAGTTGTCACTCAACCCTTAGGCTGGATCAAGAGCTTCTCCCACCCTCCCTCAGCCCTCCTGCGTTCTACCCATCACAGCTTGGCTCACTCTGCCTGTACTTCCCCCATAATGCCTTGGTCATTCTAGGCGGTCACTGGTGTGTCTCCCCCAGGGACTAGGCTTTGTGTTCATTTTCAGTGCTGAGCTAGGGCTGGTCTATGGTTGGAGCTCAGAGAATTGTTGGGTGAATAAATGAGAATAACTGCATGAGGAGGAATATTCAAAATTATTAACCCCTGGTTAAGAGGCCAATGACCAATGTAGAACACAGCCTGGCCAGAATGCTGAGGTAAGGTCCTCAAAGTCCTCAGCTGTTTCTGGAGTCGGGAGAGGTGTCCCAGGAAGTCACTAGGAGCTGCACTATTAACAAATTAGTATTTTAATGCCTGCTACACCTGAATAGTGTGCTTCTAGCTGAACATCAGTTCTGGGAATCTGAGGGTCAAAGAGGTGGTGCTTCCTGCTTGAAGATGAACCACCTGGATCCTTACCCTGTCTGTCCTTAACTATTAGACCTTGCTGTCCCTCCATCCTCTGGAGCAAACAGTCACCCCCCTACCCCACTGCCCGGCTTCCTCAGACAGGTGCTGTAATTTGAATAACCAAGCAGGCCGTTGGATGTCCAATAGTAACTGATTTGCCTGGCAAACAGACCCTTAGATCCTTGGCCCTATCAATACTATGAGAAGACATTCAAAACCACTGGGGTCTCTATTTTCTCTACCCACCCCCAAGAGGTGCCTAGGCTGCAGTCATGCCCTTGCTTAACCTCCTTGGGGGTCCTAGCACTTACCTGCCCTCTGCAGTCTGGAGAATACCCTCAGGAATATGTCATAGAATGGGGAGGAATGGTGGGCCCCAAGACAGAGGTAATTGGAGCCAACTGTGTCTGCTCCCTGGGCCTGTCATGAAATTTGCATTGAGAGAGTGAGGCTTCTTTATGGCTGCCCCCTCCTTTTCCACTTGGGATAGTCATCCCGGGGCTGAGGTCTGACAGCAGGTGGAGGAGGCAGCCCCGTCTGTGCATGTGTGTGTATGTGTGCAACCATTTTACCATTCCCGGAGGTGATGCCTCGTGCCTTCCTGGTCAGAAGTAGGCGCCTGCAACCACCCAATTGGAGTCACCTGCCTGACCAGCTCCGGGGAGACGCCTATGTCCCAGGTGGGCCCCTCAATAGGCCTGGAGGTAAGGGGCAGGGGAAACACAAAGCCTCACTACCTGGTTTCTCTTCTCAGACTGCAGCAGCCTGGAGGGGCCATCGGCACGACGACGTTCCAGCCTTGGGGACTCCTGGGCAGCGGTGAGTCTGCAGGTGACCCACAAGACCCTGGTCAATTTTGCCCCTGCCCACTCAGCCTCAACAGGCCCTGACAGCCTCTTTCTCCCCAAGCCCATTCATTGTACATGTCCTTCCAGTGTCAGAATCTTTCCACCAATGGTTCTCTCCATTGGGAGTGCCTTTCATTTCTTAGTAGTGAGCTGTTTGGCCTCATCCCAAGCACCATTTCCCCAGGGTGGGCAGCCACAGCTTCTACCCTTAGGAATCTCTCTGTCCTATGGGTCAGAGGATCAAACAAGGTGACAGGAGGATGGGGAGGGGGACGAGACTGGGGCCTTTTAGAAGAGATACTCTGCATGCACTGGAAGGACAGCACTAGCCAAGTGTGAATGTGCTCAAGATTATTTCAGTATTTATTTAGAGCCAGGAACTGTTCTAAGAAATGGCTATTTAGCAGGAGCAACAAATACTCTCTCCTTCCAGTTTATAATCTGGCGGGGACTGCAGGTATGGACAATAAAATTAGGAAAATATATATTATGTTGGAAAATAGTATGTGCTATGGGAAAAATAAAGTAAGATAAGGGCAAAGTAATAGGGCATGGTCAGGGAAGATGTTGGAGAAAGAATGGCATTTGCACACAATAGTCTGACCTTCCCAGACCTCCATGGTTCCAAGTTCTAGGAACTCTGTTTGCTCCAGTGTGTGTTTGTGTGTCTAATTCGATGTCCCTCACACAGCCCATGCAGGGCACTTTGGTCACCACTCCCAGGGACCCTGGGATGCTTGGCTGCCCATTCTGCCCCAAGGCCTTCCCGTTGCAGCGCATGCTGACAAGGCACCTCAAGTGCCACAGCCCTGCGCGCCGCCACGTGTGCAGCTGTTGTGGCAAGGGCTTTCATGATGGCTTTGACCTCAAGCGCCACATGAGGACTCACACTGGTGAGCAGTGGCAAGGACATGGAAGGGCTGCTGGACCCTGGGTGAGGATGGGACAAAAAGGAGGGAGGTGCCTTGGATGTGGAGTCTCCATTCGTGTTTTGTGGGGCAGAGACCCAGCTATCAGGTTTGGAACACCGCATACTGAAGTAGGTGGGTGTAAGGTAGTGCCAGGGTAGGGGCCTGTTGACGGGTGTTAAGACAGGCACTGGTTATAGGATTCAGGTCCCAGACTGAAGGGTGGGGGGAGGGGGGAATCCTCCCTCTGCTTCCCTGGACCCTAGGGAAGGAACAACTTGGTGAGGATGAGGACATAGATGTCTGGGGATAGCGGGATGCAGGTGAAGCCTGCAGAACTTGTAGTAGGAATGGAGGAAATCTCACAGATGGCAAGGCGGGTTGGCTTTGGTCTGAGGTCATTGCCCTGTCCTCTTCCCCTCTGCCTATCTGCACAGGGATTCGCCCATTCCGCTGTGGAGCTTGCGGAAAAGCATTTACACAGCGCTGCTCGCTTGAAACTCATCTTGCCAAGGTGCACGGGCAGCCGGCCAGCTACGCCTACCGTGAGCGCCGTGAGAAGCTGCATGTGTGCGAGGACTGTGGCTTCACCAGCTCGAGGCCTGACACTTACGAGCAGCACTGTGCCCTGCACCATACTGCTTCAGACTGCACCCCGCGTCCAATCATGAGAGGCAAATAAACACAGAACACCAACACACATAAAAGAGCATTTATTACTGGGGGAGGGTGGTTTACTCGGTCCAGCGGTGGCCGCAGTGCGGGGCTGTGCACACGTAGTACAAGCGCATAGCGTCCTGGCATAAAGGATGCACAGTTAGGAAGTGTGTGGACCCTCGGGAAGGTCAACATGGAACCTGCATCCAGCGGAACCTCACCCCTCAATAACAGACAAGGGCTCCATTCCCATTGGTAAGGGTCCTGCTCAGGACGCCAGGAAGGGCAGGCTCCCCTCAGGAGTGGTATTACCCCCTCCCAGGAAGGGCCAAGCCCAGGACAGTTAGAAAGCTGCCTTCATGTCACTCACCTCGGCACGGGCACTATGCGACTGGAAGAACACTGCCTCCTTATGGCCGCACCTGAGGGAACAGTCAGCCACTCAGAGTTTACCATACCCTTCCCTCTTTCCTCCACTCTCAGGCCCGAATACCAGCTGCAAACTCACTTTTGGCACGGGTGGTCCTCGGTTCGGGGCAACGTGGGGTCCTGGGACACGTCAGCGATGATCTGGGTCAGTTCGCTGAGGGAGAAGAGAGTGAATAATTGTGCTCTGATAGGGGCGCCCAAGCCAACAACCCCATCCCTAAACTCCCAGCCCTGCCACTCACTCCACTTCGTGCGTGATTTTGTTCACGTAGATGCAGCTGTTGTCGGCTTCCTGCTGGTAGTCACAATTCCGGCACTGGGCGGGGGGGGGGGGGGGGGACGCGAGTGTAGCAGGAAGGGAGTCACGGAGAGCTCCCCGATGGGATTGGAAGAGAGGGCAGAGTCTTCCCCGGAGAAGTTAATCAGGGGATGGAATCTCTAGGTTGGGATAATGGCGCGTATCGAGCAGCACCTCGGGGGTGGGAAGGACGAGGCAGAAGAATTCATTGCGGGATAAAAGAGACTACGACCAGTCCCGGCGGAATAGGGAGTTAGGGGGTCACGTGAGTAAGGCGGGGTCATGATGGAACGGGCTGACCCCCGAGGAAGACCTGGACACCCACGGGCTCGTGCTCACCGCATAGAGCAGAATGCGGTTCTCTTTGTCCTCCTTAGGGTAAAGCATGTTGTTACTGTGGGGAGGGGGAAGTCAGAGGTAAGTGCCCGGACCATTACTTGTTTCCCTTCCACACCGGCTGCCCCTGCCTCACCATTCCTGGCAGAATCGAATACCCACGAATCCCGGCTCATAGGTCCCGTCCGGTTCCATAGCGGAGCACTACCCGCCAAGCCTTGCGCGCTTGCTCCGCCTCACGACCGGTCGCGGGAAGGGTCAGGCCTAGTTGCTTCGCCTTTTAAAGAGCGGCAGAGCTGCGTACAAGTACTGGCTGCCAGCAGCTTTGTATTTGGCCCATGCGCTGAGATTTGATTACCTGCTTTAACCTTTTGACATACTAAAGTTGCTTCCACCCTGTGGGCCTCGTTCCCCAGTTGAGAGCCGGGAATATGACATATCACGTAACTCGCAAAGCAGTAGGCATATATGAAGAAGTCATTGCTCTTTGCGGGGGCCGAAGGCCAGTGCACATGCGCGAGTTTACCCTCCGCGGCGGGGGGTAACTCCTGCCAGTCCTTCCTCTCGGCTTCAGTCTTCCTCCGACCGATTCGTTTTGGAAGAACCGTACCAGGGCAGGCCTCTCAGGATTGGCTGGACCTATCTTAGAATACACGAGAGCTTCCGGTGGTGAGGAGACGGCGGCTATAGGCGGACTCTCCCTGCGAGAGAGCGCGTATTGGCTAGGTCGGGAGCAGGGGGAGGGGCTGATAGCGCAGAGGTGGTGGCGGCGGCGGCGGCGGCGGCGGCTGCTGCGGGGCGGGTGTGAGGCGTCTGACCCGGCTGCGGGTCCCGGCAGGGCGCGGCGAGATGGAGGTGACCGGGCTATCTGCGCCCACAGTGACCGTTTTCATCAGCAGCTCTCTTAACAGCTTTCGCTCCGAGAAGCGGTACAGTCGCAGCCTCACAATAGCTGAATTCAAGGTGTGGCTGTGGGGCGGGGCCCAGGGGGGCGGGGCAAAGGAGAAATTTAGGGGCTTCCGGATCGCCGGGAGCGGCCAGAAATAAACCAAGGTTGCAGAGATTGAGGACCTGTCCTCAGCAGGGTGGGGCCCGAGGGAACCGGAGGTTCCTGAGAAGGGCGCAGGGGCCTGGGAAAATGAGAGGTTTCAGAGGGTGGGGGCAAGAGCAGAGCGGGGCCCTGCCCAGGGATAACCAGTTGGGTCCTAAAATGATTGGGTTTCCTGGAGGAGCAAAGATGAAGCACAGGGGGCGGAGAGTCAGGGTAGAGGGTGAGACCACTGACCTCTCCCATACCCTATTCTTCGCAGTGTAAACTAGAGCTGGTGGTGGGCAGTCCTGCGTCTTGCATGGAACTGGAGCTGTATGGAGCTGATGAGAAGTTCTACAGCAAGCTGGATCAGGAGGATGCGCTGCTGGGATCATACCCCGTAGATAACGGCTGCCGCATCCATGTGAGACCTCCCTACCTGGGATCCGTCCTCTCCATTCATTTATTTATTTAACAGATGTTTGCCATACTTTGCACTGTGTGATAACCCAGATAGGCCCCCGTGGAGCTCACAGTCCATTATGGAAAGAGGGAGACCCATCACCAGACAGTGACAGCCAGAGTTGTTTGGACTCTTGAGTGGCAAGCCCAGGAGACTGGAGACACCCAGAATAGTTGTCTGACTCCATGAGAAAAGGACGGCTTAGGAGAAGAGGTGGGAAGGGCATGCCAGCTGGAGGAAGCAGAGTGTACAGAGGCCCAGAGTGTGAGGTGGGTCAGGGTGAACGGTGAGATGTATTGGGAGTAGCTGGAACAGAAAGGACCTCTGCATGCATCAGCTCACATCATCTTTTCTGTCCTCATCGCCCCCTCCCCCCACCCTGCTGGACTCCTCAGACTTCTCAGCATCCCAGGCAAGGTTACCTCAGGGCCTTTGAATATGGTATATACCCTGTGCCTGCATGGTTCTTTTTTCTGTGCTCACAGTCCCACTCCTTCCTTCCAGTCTTTACTTAAATGTCAGCTTTCAAGTGTGAGGTCTTCATTGGCTTCAGTGTAAAATTTAAACCTCCTTCCTTTTCACTTTGTTTGATTTTCTTAACTCTTATCCTGAGACAGTCTGTGAACAATGCTTTGCACAGAAAGAATGCTCAGTGAATCATTGCTGGATGATGAGTTGAGTGCATAAAATAAAACCTGGAGGATGGTGTAATTAACCCTGTTTTACAGAAGAGAAAACTAGCTTCAGGATGGAATTTATTGCCCTAAGGATGAACTATCGCTTAAATTTTTACCTGTCTACATGACTCCAGAAATCAGTGTGCCCAGAAAACTAGTTCTATAAACAAACAAGCCTCTTTATTTCATAAATCTTCAGTGAGCATCTGTGTTATACCAAGAGTATAGCTGTGAACCAAATCTGAGAAGGCCTCTAGCTCTATCCAGTGTAAGGTAGGTGTTAGCTAAATATTCACAAGAACAAATGTGAAGGGTCATTGAGGTGAAGACCATGCAGGAGAAGACTGAAAAACTGGAGATCCTATACTGAGGGACGACTCATCAATGAGGTTTTGGAGGACTTCCTGGAGGGGGTTCTGCTTGAGTGGAGACCTGAAGAATAGGAAGGGCTAACTGAAGAAGGGAAAAGAATACTCGGAGGGAAGGGTACAGCATGTGTAAACACTCTGAGATATGAGGGAGCATGGTGGGTACAAGGGACTGAAGAGTGGCCACTCCTATGGGAGAGGGAAATGGGAGCCAAGGGAGTACCCTGAGTCAGGAGAGCCCTGGTCTGACTTAGGTGTTCATAGGTTCCTTCTAATTATGTGTGGGGAGCAGACTGTGGAGGATAGAAGGAGTAGGGAAATGAGAGAGGAGGCTGCTTTCATAGTCCAGATGATACAGGGTGAAAGTGGGTCAGGAATGTGGGTTGCCATTGTATGGATAGACCACAGCACTGAGACCAGCCTGCCTTTGGCAGCCTCAGCCTAGGGATGCTGGTAGGCCAAGCATGGGCGGTGACATCCTCAAACAGGAGGCTTTCACACATTGATTTGGGTATAGACAGACCTCTGACTTCCTGAGGTCATTCAAGGAAGGTTTCCCAGTGAAGGAGTCTAGGGAATTTTTATTTTTTCTAAAACTTTTTCTGTTTTACATTGGCTCACATGGCACAGTTGTTTGGGCATCCTCTGGTGAAGCAAAAGGTTGCCAGTTTGATTTCCGGTCAGGGTATATGACTGGGTTACGGGCCTGGTCCCTTGTTGGGGTGCATGCGAGAGGCAACCTGTTATTCTTTCTCTCTCGCATTGATGTTTCTCTCCCTCTTTCCTTACCTTCCCTTCTCTCTAAATAAATAAAGTCTTTAAAAAAACCTTTTTCTGTTTATAAATATTACCTGTATTCATTGCTTAAAATAACAAGCAACCTCAAACTTCGAAAAATCCCTAATATTGAAAGTAAAAATTCTTAGTGATCCTTAACCAGAAATAAGAGCCATTTCTCTTTTGGTGTGTTAGCCCAATAGTTAAGGCCAAACTCCCCAGAGTGTTTTCTGATCCCTGTATTTCCTTCATATCCACATCCAGCCTGTCTGCAAATCATGTAGAGTCCACCTACAAAATCTATCCAGAATCTAAACTCTTTTTTCCCGTCCACTGTTCCCACTGTTCCACCCTGGTCTAATGTCCCTCCTCTTCCTCCTGGACATTACAGCAGCCTCTGTCTCCTATGCCTGTTCCCTCCCCCACAGTCTATTCTCCACATGTGGCCAGAAACAGACTGTGACCCTGAGTCAGGTCAGAGCCCTCCTGGCTCAGAGCCTCCCTTGTGCACCTCATTCCAGGTAAGAGTAAAGTCTACAGTGATGTGTTGTGTCTCCCACTCTACCTGGCTTATTCCACACTAGCCATGGTGGCCTCCCTGCTGTTCCTCAAAAGGGCTAAGGATAATTCTATATCCAGGACTTTGTGCCTATTGTACCTTCTCATCCTTCAGGCCTTGGCTTAGACATCCCCTCCTTTTAGAAGCCTTCTTTGACTACCTTCCCAGGCACCTTAAGCCTCTTTGTGGTATGTCTACATTGAACCTTGTTATTTTCTGGTGTTTAATACACATACCTGTGTATTTGTTTATGGCCAGTTTCCCAGCAGAATGAATACTTCTTGACATCAGGGGTTTTACTATTTTTGCACTGTCTCCCTAGCACCCAGCACAGGGCCCAGCAGGGTGCCTTGGAAGAGTTCAGCAAGCAGTGAGTTAATGAATATTGAGGGTGGTATAGGAAGAGATGCTCCAGGGTCTGGAAATTGGGGCCAGCTTAACAGGATTCCAGGGGCCCAGAGAGGACAGATGTGCTTCCCAGAAGGCTCATGAGCAAGACCTGAGCTCCACACTTTCTTATGATTTGGGGGCTATCAGTGATGTTGATGCCAGCATGTGAGCATCATATGGGGCAGATCCAGCCTTCAAGGTGGGGATAGAGGTGATGAAAGAGAGATGACTAGTGTAGACACCTGATGTCATTCCTTCTACTGAGCTCAGGAGATGAGAGAAGGTTGGGGTAAAATGAAGATAGATTGAGTTTTCCCTAGACAGGAGAGACTTAAGTCTATGAAATGCTCCAATGTCTAGCTATACCACCACCCCAGCATCCCAAGCCTCCCTGACCAGGCCCTGATCCTCACTGACCGCTTCTGTCACTGCAGGTCATTGACCACAGTGGTGCTCGCCTTGGGGAGTATGAGGATGTATCCAAGGTGGAAAAATATAGCATCTCACAAGAAGCCTATGACCAGAGGCAAGGTACGGGGGGCGGGGGTTGGAGGCCAAAAGGAGTGTGTGCAGGTGGGGGTGGGGGTGGTGATGGGTGTGGGGGTGGGCAGAAGGAATAGACAGGGACATTGCGGGGAAATCGATAGTGGGGGCAGATAGGCAGGGGAGAGAGGAGGGACTGGGCTGAGGTTGGTATGGGGACAGATGAGGGAATGGGAGAGCAGAGAGGGTGGAAAAGGCATAGGGTAGTAATGGGGACTGGGGGGTGTGAGGGCTTGTGGGCAGGCAGGTGCAAGGATCAGATGTGGGGAGAGCGGTCAGTGTCACATAGGGCAGATGGTGTGCGGGGCAGAGCATGGTAGAATATGTGGAGTGGATAGGGCAGTGTGGTGATCAGTACAGATGTGAGGAAGATGAGGAAGGATTCAGGGGATGGATGGAGGCGAATGTGATATTGAAGGGATGTAGAAAGATGGGGTGATGTGAAAGATTGGAGACATAAAGTTTTAGTTTATGAATTGTGGAGAGGCCCCAGGGAGCCTTGGGAGAGGGCAGGGCTGTGGTGGGAGACTTGGAGGGCTTGAATGACAGCCCTTTGACACTTAGAACAGAAGAGTTTCTCCATGAATGTTAGCCCTGTGTGAGTGCAAGGTTATCATTTCATTAGGCCAGAGGCCCCACCCATGAGACCCTGTCTGACTCCAATTTTCTACCCCACCCATAGACTCGGTCCGCTCCTTCCTGAAGCGTAGTAAACTGGGCCGATACAATGAAGAGGAGCGGGCACAGCAACAGGCTGAGACCACCCAGCGCCTCGCGGAAGAGAAGGACCAGGCCAGTGCCATCCCTGTAGGCAGCCGCTGTGAGGTGCGGGTACCTGGGCAGCCCCCTCGCCGGGGCACCGTCATGTATGTAGGTATGTGGCCTCCTGAGACCTTATTCCCTGCCTGATGTGGGTAATGCTGGGGACCCAGTCCTCAAGGAGGTCCAATTTAGGAGGAGAGACAGATACAGCAGCCGATGGTGACAGCCCAGAGTATTCCTGTCAGGGAATTGAGAAGCAGAGACACAGTGATGTGGGTTGTGGTAGAGAAAGTGGAGGCTGGAGTGACCAGTTCAGAGGCAAAACTGGCTAGAGCTAAGATGAGGGAAACAACAGGTAGAACTTTTGGGGCTGTGATGGGGAAAACCCAAGATGAAGTGATCAGGGCAGGGATGAGGGAAGCTTAGGAAGATGTGTAAGCTGAGAGGAAGTACCAGACGTCTTCCTGAGAGTAATCCAGAGTGCTTCGGAGGGGAGTTGGGGGAAGGACTATAATGGAAAGGGAGAACTGAGCCAGGTGAAAAGGGAGGGTGAATGTTCCAGCCAGAGGGAGTAGTAAGTGCAAACAAGCAGGAACAACATAGATCAGTTTGAGGCAGAGAAAGGAAGTCAGCATGGCTAGTGGGGAGTAGTGAGAGGACAGGTAAGAAGCAAGGTCAGGAGCATGGGCAGGGCTGGACCACGCATGGCCTTGGAGACAGTAGAGAGGAGTGTGGATTTTATTTTATTTATTTTTAATTTTTTTATTGTTCACTTACAGTTGTCCCCATTTTTCCCTCTGTGAGTTTTTTTATAACAGCTTTATTGAACTATAATTCGTATATCATAAAACTCACCCATTTAAAGTGTATATTATTCATTCATTGGTTTCTAGTATGTTCATGGAATTGTGTAACCAACACCGCAATCAATTTTAGGACATTTTCATCACTCCAGAAAAAAACCCTATATGTGCTCGCTTTGGCAGCACATATACTAAAAAAAAAATTGGAACGATACAGAGAAGATTAGCATGGCCCCTGCGCAAGAATGACACGCAAATTCATGAAGCGTTCCATATAAAAAAAAAAAAAGAAAGAAACCCTATAACCATTAGCTGCCACTCCACATTTCTGAAACCCCTCTCCCCAAGTCCTAGACAACCACTATAAATTTACCAATTCTGGATATTTAATATAAATGGAATAATATTGTATTATGTGGCCTTTTTTGACTGCTTTCTTTCACCTAGCATAATGTTTTCAAGGTTCATCTATGTTACAGCATCTATCAGTACTTTATTTCTTTTTATTGCCAAATAATATTGCATTGTATGGATAGACCACATTTTATTAATTAATTCATCACAGTTAATGAACACTTGGGTGCTTTCCACTTTTTAGCTCTTACAAATAATGTTGCTATAAACATTCTTGTATGAATTTTTGTGTGGACATGTATTTTCCTTTCTCTATACCTAAGAGTGGAATTGCTGGGCCATGTGGTGACTCTTTCTTTAACCTGTTGAGGAATTGCCACACTATTTTCTACAGCAGCTCCCCAGTGTGGATTCCCAGCAGAATGTAGGAGGGTTCCAATTTCTCCACATCCTCTCCAACACATACTACTATTGGTCTTTCTGATGATAATTATTCTAATGGTGTGAAGTGGTAAAGCATTATGGTTTTGATTTGCAGTTCTTTGATGACTAATGATATTGAGTATCTTTTCATGTGCTTTATGGCAACCTGTATATCTTCTTTAGAGAAATGTCTATTGAGATCCTTTTTGCCCATTTTTAAATTGGGTTGCTTGTCTTTTTGTTGTAGAGTTGTGTGTTAATTTGCTAGGGCTGCCATAACAGGGTGTCATACGCTGGATAGCTTAAACAACAGAAATTTATTTCTCACAGTTCTGGAGGCTGAAAGTCCAAGATCAAGGCCTTGGCAGATTTGGTTTCTTCTGAGGCTTGTCATTGGTGTGTAGAAGGCCATCTCTTCACTGTATTTTCATATGATCTCTCCTCTGTGTGCATGCCCATCTCTGATGTCTGTGTTTTCTAATTTCTTCTAAGAGTTTTATAGTGTTACATCTTACATTTAGGTTTTTAATGACCCATTTTGTGTTAATTTTTATGTATAGTGTTACGTAGGAATCCAGCTTCATTCTCTTGCATGTGGATATCTAGTTGTCCCAGCATTATTTGTGGAAAAGACAATTATTTTCTCATTGAATTGTCTTGGTACCCTCGCCAGAAATCATTTGACTGTAAGTAATGCGGATTTTATGCTGAGTGGGATGAGCAGCCTTTCAGCAATTTGAGTCAAGGCAGTGGTGCTATTGCCCTTTGATTTTTACAAAGACCGCTTTGGCTGAGGCTGTTGAATGAATAGGGGGTCAGCGGTAGGATCAGGGAGACCAGTGAAGGGGCTCCCGTATTAGTCTTGGGCAGGAAATGGCTGTCGTCCTAGTAAGGAGTGGTTTTTGCCAAGAAGGGCTTTACACTGAGAGGACAGGGACGAATCTGGGATGAGTGGTGTCTGGAGGTTTCATTGGGATTTCTCCCCTGGGCAGGACTCACAGATTTCAAGCCTGGGCACTGGATTGGCATCCGCTATGACGAGCCACTAGGGAAAAACGATGGCAGGTAATAAGTATTCCCACTCAGGCGTCCGTGTGTGTGTCTGTACCTGTGTCTGTCCTTGAATATGTGTGCATATATGCATTAAATGCATGCATGTATGACTGGGTGTGCCTATCGGTCCTAGCATCTGGGGAGGGAGCCATGTTGGGAGCTCTCTGATCACTGACTTTTCCCTCGTGCTCGGCAGTGTGAATGGGAAACGCTACTTCGAATGCCAGGCCAAGTACGGTGCCTTCGTCAAGCCATCAGTTGTGACAGTGGGGGATTTCCCCGAGGAGGACTACGGGTTGGACGAGATGTGATGCCCAAGGAAGGGCATCGTCCTGCTCCAGCTAACTTGCCCACTTATTGCCCCTTCCTATGTGTGCCAATGGCTCTTTTTCCCTGATCCTGTTTTTATTTTATTTACTTTGTTCTTGCCATTGACTTTTGAGACTTGTGCATTAAATTTGCCAGAACTGGGAAGTATTTGGAGGACTCAGTGATTATAGGAATGTCTGGGGGCAGCTGGGTAAGTGAGGGTGAAACAGGGGGCTGAGCAAAGTAGAGCATGAAGCTTTATCCCTTAGCTGGTAACTGGAGGCCCATGAGACTCTTCTTTGTCCTTTGTTAGTTAATATAATATTATGCTTCTATGACACATAGGCCCAAAATAATAGTGGCTTTCACAAAATTGAAGTTTATTTTTCTCCATGGAAAGTTTTGCTTAATCATAAGAGCTAATAGGGTGACCCTTCCATCTCAGAGGCTGATCTCCTTCTCCATATATCTCACTCTCCCATCTTCTTCTGATTCCCACCTCATCTGCTCTAGGCACTAGGATCAGGGAGGAGGAGGGGTTACCCCTTGTCTTTAGGAATGTGTATGTATAACTCAAAACCTGTTACTAGTTCATTGGTCAGAATTTTGTCTCATAGCTACTTGTAACTGCAAAAGAGGCTGGGAAATACAGTTTCTATTCTGGGCAGCCATGTTCCTGGTTAAATATCAGGAGTTCCTATATAATAGAAGCTGGGGAGAAGGGATGTGGGGGACAAACAAGTAGTTCTAACATAGTCCCTGTGAGTGGGGGATCTTTACCTGTTCAGTACAGTTGACCTTTGAACAACACAGGTTTGACCTGTGCGGGTCCACTTATATGTGAATTTTTAAAAATAAATACTGTAAATGTATTTTCTCTTCCTTATTATTTTCTTAACATTTCCTTTTTTTTTTTTTAGCTTACTTAATTGTAAGAATATAGTGTATACCTCTGGCTGGTGTGGCTCAGTGGATTGAGCACCGGCCTATGAACCAAAGGGTTGCTGATTGGATTCCCAGTCAGAGCACATGCCTGGGTTGTGGGCCAGGCCCCCGTTAAGGGGTGCACGAGAGACAACCACACATTGATGTTTCTCTCCCTCTCTTTCTCCCTCACTTCCCCTATGTCTAAAAATAAATAAATAAAACCTTTAAAAAGGAATATAGTATATAATACATATAACATAAAACATATGTTAATCAACTCTTTATGTTATCGGTAAGTCTCCAGTCAAGGGTAGGCTATTCGTAGTAAAGCTTTTTGGGGAGTCAAAAGTTATATGTATATTTTTGACTGCATTTGGGATTGGCAGTCGTAGCCCCCATGTTGTTCCAGGGTCAACTGTATTTGAAAGAAGAAAGAAATCTAAAGTCTTTGTAGAAGCAACATGAAGTCCTTCATAACAAAGAATATTGTGCTCTCAAGTATGTGATATGTGCACATGTATCCCATTCACTCTAGGGAGCCCAAACTACAGACCATATACCATGCATGTGCCTGCATGTGCAATAATCCCTTGTTAGCTTCTTGAAGGGATTCCTGATGGGATGGCTGTTTGGAATATTCTACTTATTTGTTGTAATTAATAATAACTGCTAGAGAACTTGGCAGTAGGGAGCAACCATGATAAGCAGAATGAGGTTGAAATGTCTGAGAGCTGAAGGGATCCTTGGGGAGGCCGCACACATCCACATACAACCCCATACATATGCACTCTGATATCCAACATAATATACATGGACACACATAGATACATAGAACACACACACCTGGCTTCACACTCAATCACTGGAGAAACACTCAAAACAGATATGGGAGGTCTCATGCAGAAACAGTGCACAGATTCTCACACAGTGGAGAGCCACACATAAACATAGAATACACTTAGAAGTTCACATCAAACACCGACCAGGAATAGATACACATCTACTCACACACACACACACAAATCATTGAGTTGTCAATCTACAAAAAAACAAGACTAAGAGTTTAGAAAAGGATCTCCCTCCCAGCTACTGCTATGAAAAAGGATCATGGATTTTGGTGGGCCCAGCATTAACCACCCTCTACCTATCACCAGATTCATAACTTCAGGGTAAGCAGCAGGAAGAGGTAGGATTTCCTTCCACCAGACACAATGTGTAGGCCCCTTTCATGTCAAGGAGTTGTCAGGAATGAGGAGCATTAGAGGGAGCATTGTGAACTTCCCCACTAGCATCTACCAACTTAAGTTCAGCTAGAGTCTAGTCGAATTAGCTCAGCTAATGGATCAGTACTGAGGACATGAGACTCACTTAAGATCTGGCTTCAGAGTGCACCTGCATTTGAAGAGAGCAAAAGATAGGGGCAGGATCATGATCATCCAAAATCATACCTTTGAGCTCCAAGTAAGGATCACAGAGTACTAGCTGTCAGCATGGACATTTTCCATTTTAAGAATATGGGAAAACATTTCAATTGTTGATGACTATAACTCAGGACCTCCAAACCAGGGAGCTGCATAAGTGTTCGTGATATTCTGAAAAATACCACCCACAGGACTCACAGATGTGGACGTGTCATTTATTACTCAGATTACAGGGGGATGCACTGATGGCCACATATTGGTGTGAGAGAGACCATTCTCCTCCAGTTTGAGGCTCGTTATAAGCGGTTATAGACAAAGGAGGCATGTGTCCTATGTGTGACTTTAAACTACATCACTTCAATGTGTACATGCAGAAAGAAAAGGTGCAAAAGCAGTCAAGGACAAGAAGCTGCTCCTAAAAGGAGATGAGGGAGTTACAATCCTTTCCCAAAAGAATACACATTTCTTCTGGAAAGGGACCCCCTGGCCATCCCTCATCATGGGTGGTGGGAGAACCATATCAGCATGGACCCCACAATGACAATGGAAGGGATCATGCTGGTAATTTCTAAGTAGGAAACCTACACCTGCTATGTGAAAGTTGACCACATTTAGGGATTCGAGACTCATTTTACAGAATGACCTGGCGCTTAGGCTTTAACACACAGTGGTCAGTGTGTTATGGTAATACCAGTTGCTTTAACAGATACCCCATCCCCTGAAATGCACACAGTTTGATGCAAGGATTCTGGTTGATTGGCATTAACGTCTATGCGGTGATTCACACACCCAGACTCCATCCTGTGGCTCCATGATTTTCATGTGTTCAAAATTACCTGCTTCAAGCTGGCAAATAGAGGACAGTATGGGGAAAGTTCACCATATTCTTTAATAAATGTGTTCTACAAATTTCACTTCTCATATTGTGCAGCCACCCTAGATGCAAAGTGGGCTTTGGAACATACTCCTGTGCTGAGCATTGGCCACCCCTCTACCTATCATCAGATCCATAACTTCAGGGAAAGCAACAGGAAAAGGTGGAATGTCCTTCCACCAGACCCATTAAATCCTTCAGCCCCGCCAACAACTGCTTTTGCCTAACCTGCACCTTTCAGCACCCTCCTGTTCATCCGCAGATCAGTGCAGATGGGAGCCCATGAATTCCCAACCATCCCTACATTTTTTGAGCTCCTGCTGTATGTCAGGCCTGCTGCTGGGAACACATTCATGAATTGGACACGGTCCTTGCTTGGGAGTTGAAGGCAGACAAGCATAATTACCAAACATTGCCTCTTTATTTATTCATTTATTTTTGGCTGTGATATTCCATTATGAGTATGAATGCTGGCAGTGGGGTAGGGAGAACAAACCCACTAAATCTGCTGGATGGTACTGGTACTAAGGAAGGGATAGGTATGGAATATGCAGGGTCTGGCAGAAGTAATAATGCCTGCTTGAGTGTGGTGGGTAGGGTAATAATATGGGTGTAACAATTCATAGCTTTAATTTGAACGTTTCACCTAAAATGTCATATGGTGTGCTTGAGTGTGGTATTGAGTTACAGAATTATATGCTTATGATTTTGTAATAAAAAAGGGGTGTTATTTGTGCCAGACCCTGTATTTGAATAGTAGTCACATGAACAAAAGGGCTTTGTAGGTCTGAAGTAATCCTCTCTGTGGTTCATGCTAATCAGAAACTTGATCCCTGTGCAAAACACAGACTGGCTGAATGCTGCTTTTGCCCTGGAGCTGAGCTAAATCACTAATTCAAACAAGATAATGGCCCATTTAAGTTGATTCTTGTACCTGTTACACACTAGGGATAATTCAGTAGGTTAAGAGGTGATGTAACCTTAGTGAAGAAGAACACAGACTCTGAAATTGGACCGCATATTTAAGTCAAAACCCAGCTCTGTCACTCACCAGCTGGCGAACCCAAGTAAGTATTCCTTCTCTTTGGGTTTCAGCTTCATTCCTGTAAATTGGGGCTGATAATAATATCTACCCCATACGATTGTTGTGAGCATTAAGTGAGCTAATAAATGTAAAGCGCTTAAATCCAGAGCCAGGCACATAGATGAATAATTATTCAGTATTAGCCGTAGGTATGAAAACAATTGTGTATAATACAGTCAACAGTTACTCTGATGGCTTTCATTTAATCCCCACAGCTGCTTCGCCCAATATCTTCACCGTTTCCCCTCCCATCTCATCTTTCCTGGCCCAAGTCTGGGGTAACCCCCTTGGAAAGGGATTCCCTTATTTTCTTTGGAGGGCACTAGGCTTCCCAAGTCCATGCAACCTTGGAGTTCCTAGCCTCGGCATCGTCTCAACCACCACGTGGGGGCAGCAGCACTCCTTGCGCGGTCGCATTGTCGGGCTCATCGTCTGGGTGGTGGCCCAAGCTTGGCACAGAAACTGAATTTTCTAGAAAACCATGCAACAGCCTTAGCCTCACCAGATTCAAGTCTAGAAGTGGAGGTCTTCCCTCCCTCCCTGAGGCTCTGGGAATTGTGGGATGAAGAGATTTGACTCCCGTGCACGCGAGGGTGGGGGTGGTGCTGCTCAGGTGCTGTCAGCCAATGACCCCACCAGTTAATCAGAGAGTGGGAACGGGAGTCCCTGCTGAGGTGCCAGAGGTGACTTTTCTGGCGACAGGAGAAGAAGCTGGCCTTTCTGCTTCCCTGCATCTCAACCATTCACTCTGCAGAGAGGGAGCTAGATGGGGAGGGAGGGAGGGGCAAACACCTCTCTGTGAGAGAGAAACATGAATCAGTTGCCTCTCCAGCCCTCTGACTGAACCTGGAACCTAGGCCTGTGCCCTGACCAGGAATGGAACCCATGACTTCCAGTTTCCAGGATGATGGTCCAACCAACTTGAGCTTCACCGGCCAGGTCTCAATTCCTTGCCCTGCCTCCTGGCTAAACTCAAGAGGAAATTCGTCACCTCAGTTTACTGGTCCTGAAATGACAGCTGATATTTAGATTAGTCGTTCTCAAATGTTTGTGTCTCAGGACCTATATATTTAAAAATGATTGAGGACCTCATATAGCTTTTGTATGTCAGGGCTATATCTGTAGATATTTACATTAGAAATTAATGTTAACATGTAATGCTTTTTTATTTTTAACTTTTTATAAAGAATAACTTTTGTAAAGTAATGAGAAGAGTGGCATTTTTATTATCTTTTGAAAATCTTTGTAATGTCTAGCTTAAGATAAGTTGAGTTATCATATCTGCTTCTGCATTCAGCTTCTGCATGCAAACTATTGAATATTATCATGTAGGTTCTGGAAAACTCTGCACCCTTGTGAAAGAATGAGAATAGAAAACAGAAACAAGTCTGTCTTAGTGGTGTTATGAAAATAGTTTTAACTTCAAAGATACCCTGAAAGGTCGCAAGGACTCCCAGGTGTCTCCAGTGTTTGAATATCCAGACGTTCCCCGTGAAAATCCTAATTTCTGGTTCCTGCCATATTAGGATATATGACAATACAGAGCACACTTCTTTACTTGGGCCCAGTAGGCTGGATCTGCTGTACCTGTCAGGACCTAACTGGGATGCAGAAACCATTCTTGTATTAGGACAGAGAGGCATTAACACATGGAAGTGGTTATGGAGTAGATGAAGGAGCTGAGGGGCCAGATAGCTGTAGAAGCAATTGGAAATTAGCAGTAGG